AAAGCAAAGGAGATGATTGACAATGTCAAAGACTGTGGGAGAGGTCAAGAAGGATGAAGCTGAAAAAAAGGCCATTAGATTTGTCAGTCTTGGGGGGTTATTAGTAACAGTAAAAAGAGCAGTTTCAGTTGAATGATGAGGTTGGAAGCCAGACTGTAGAGAGTTTAAACAAGATTAAGAGGAGAGGAAGCAGAAGCACCAATTGTAGACAGTTTCTTCAAGGAGTTTAGCCACAAAAGGGGGGTGAGATACAGAACAATAGAAGGAATGGATGCATCAAGTGAGAGTTGTGTGTGTGTGTGTGTGTGTGTGTGTGTGTGTGTGTGTGTGTGTGTGTGTGTTTTTGAGTGTGAGGCAATTGGGGTTAAGTGACTTGCCCAGGGTCACACAGCTAGTGTTATGTGTCTGAGTTCGGATTTGAACTCAGGTCCTCAGGTTGGTGCTCTATCTACTGTGCTGCCTAGCTGCCCCCAAGTGAGAGTTTTTTAAGAATGAGAGAGACATGGGTGTGTTTGTAGCCAGAAAGGAAGCAGCTAGTATATAGAAAGATTGAAGACTGGTGAGAAAGTTGGAGTCATGGAGAAGGGATGGAATAGGATCACTTGTACATGTAGAGGCATTTGCCTTGGCAAGGAGAGAGGCCATGTCTTTGTACATGTCAGAGCTGAAAGAGTATGTGGTGGGGAAATCATCTGAATGATGTAAGATGAGAGAGGGAGCTCTTGGGGAATGGCTCAATTTTGTTTTTAGTGGAGTATGAGATAAGGTCTTTAGCTAAGACTGTTGAGAAAGGGGAGCTGTGGGAAGCTGGCAGAGGGATGAAAAGGTATGGAAAGGCTGGTGGTGAATAAACTACTATATTAATTAGAGAAGTGTAAAGGGATTGCATTGCTGAATTTTCAGGACAAGTTATTTGACATAGCAGAAATGAAGAAATGCATAATTGTGCCTTGCTACTCTTCCAAAAAGATTCTCAGTCAGAACACTAAAATGACATTTTAACTGACATTATAACTATTGTAGAACACAGAGCAATTTTGGTGTAGCCTGCTGTGGACATTTCTGGCCCATGCTCATGATAGAAGATAGGAACTGGGTTGACAATTTCAATGTATAGCAAACTCCCACCAATGCAGCTCAGTGGTTTGTCTGAAATTTATAGTTGTAGAGAAGTACCTGGAACGGTGAGGGGATTAAGTGAATCGCCCAGGGTCACACATCTGGCACTCTATTCACTATGCCCTGTTCCCTCTCCTATGCTTATGGTTCCAAAGGGAATGATACCAGAAGATTACCTTATGTTTGATGATATTTGGGAATCTCAACTGCACATTGACCTATAGTTTGGAATGTTGGAAGATGGGAACTCTAGAGACCTATGATTAAGATGTCACAATACTGAAGGAATGAGGACCTTTCATCTGGTTAGGGCTTTAGCAAAGAAGAACACTAAAGGAGAATAAACAATTCTGCATTGCTTAAGTCCACTATCAGGAATTCCAGTTGAGAGTCAGGCCCCTGCTATGCAAACTCGGTATTCCTGGGAAGTGCAAGATACTGACCAATGAATGGAAAGTCATACCGTATTACTTCATCGAAATACTAGAATGTCTACCAATCTATTAAACAGCTTCGGGAAGCAGAAAGGGCCCTAGGAGGAAAGTACATCACAATCACTTGCCAACCACATAAAGTGTGTTGGCAACAGGAATGTAAAGAGACAGAAAAGTTAAAAGAACTAAGCCCCTAAGAGGGCCCCAACAACAGATTGCAGTTGGGCTACTATCTTCTGAGAAGAATCAACATGGAGATGGCTTAAGCCAAGATGCTGATGAAGGTGAGATTGAATGTGGGTTTACCACTAGAGATTATGGAATGCCATTAGAGTCACCTTAAGACCTGTAGGAAACCCCTGCTCTGGTAAAGAAAAGAAGTTAAATCCAGAGGTAGCCATCTTTTTGGAAATCTCTGGGAGACAACAGCTGCAGGTGGAACTTACCTGTCTAGGGACAGCAGATAGCTCTTATATCCCTCAGATGTCTCTGGAGCCAGAATTTAGGCCACTGGCCAATGTAACCAAAAGCAGCTTCAACCCAATAGCAGCCAGGTGGCCCAGTTTTCAAGTGCTAGCTGGGGTCAGGAAGAGGTGACTTTCAATACCACCTTGAACATTAGCTGTGTGACCCTTGGAAAGTCACTTAACCTCTGCTTGCTTCAGTTTCTTTAACTGCAAAATGAGGTAAACAATAGTGCCTACCTCCCAGAGTTGTGAGGATAAAATGAAATAATATCCATAAAAGCACTTTGTAAACCTCAAAGTATTTTATTAATGTTAGCTTTAATTGTTGCTAACATACCATGGAGGTGCTACTCAGAAGTGGCCACAAGTTACAGCAAAAGTTCTATACTGTTCCTATGCTGCTAGTGACTAAGCAGGTGTCCTGAGGGATAATGAAAAGGGACATCACTTAAATAGCATCAACTGGTATAGGGTAGAATACTGCATGCTAGGGAGGAAGGCAGTTGAATGTTGTAGCACATATAACATGTCCTGTGTGTAGTATATTCAAATGTATTATGAGTATATTAATGTATATCATGTATCAGATGGGAATGTATTTTGCAAAAACCTTACATATAATATTTGGTATAATTTGGTATAAATTTCTAAAAATCTGTGCTTTAAGAAAAACAAGTTGATAGAAGTATTGCGCCATTTGCCTCTTCCCCCTCCAAGTGACTGGGGGAAGCAACCTCTTTGGGGTGTTGCATGGATCTGGCAAATGGGGAAGGCTGAAACGGACAAAGGGGAGAGAAGTTAGAGGTGGAAGGCTCAGAAGGATGTTTTTGGTGAAAGGGTGCTTAGGGCTTTTTGGCCTTCACACAGAGGAGATGGCAGCTTTCAGAGAGTGGAGGAGTTGAGAAATTTGTCAACCTTGTTTTAGAAACTGAGGGAATGTATCCTAGGAGGCTATGAAGAACTGAAAATTGGAATGGGAGAGGAGAGATGCCATCTCATCCCTTCCTCTATTTCTGCTTTTAAGTAGGCTAAGAAAATACATTTGGGAAAGAACTTTTCTCTCCACTGGGGATAGGGGATAGACGTGAGATTTAAATGGTGTAGGAATTCCCAAGTGAGAAAACTCCCTCTATCCAGGTATGTTGGCACCATCTTTGTAATTTACAGTCTTAGAGAGTTACCTAGAGCACTGAAGGTTAAGTGACTTCACTTCCCTAGCCATATGGCCAGTATATACCAGAAATGGGATTTGTCTTTCTGGGTTTGAGCCCAGCTCTCTATCTGTGATGCCACAGTGCTCTTTTCCAACTATACGCAGGTCTCTGAGTGAGTCTGACCAATCATATGCCTCTTTGGACTAACAGTTACTTGTTATAGGAGTTCTCATTGGTTTTCCTCATTTTAATAAAATCACCTAGGGTAACATAAACTGTTTGCTTGTAAGTGGGGAGATAGTTTCAGGATATTATGGGGTATTAGACATATGTTTTTCCAGTTTTCCTTGGAGGGAGTTATGAACTGTGAAGTGAGAGGATCTCTCAAAGCATGTCAAAGATCCTTTGGGCTATAATTGAGTCTCTGAGACAAGTAATACACATGTAATATATGATATCAACCTTAACACTTAACTTTAAGTCATCTGTGTCCTAATAATTAGTAAAAGCTGGTGTTCATTAATAGGTAAATATGTGGCCATTAGTTACTATGCTATAAATCCCCAAGGGTAAGATAAACTTGGACGTAAGGCTTAAGACAATGTGACAGCACTGGAGGCCTGGGAAAGGGAGCACTTCAAAAGAGGGGGCGGGCAGGGAGAGGTTGTAGAAGGATAAGAAAACGTCAGAGCTGAACTTCATTCGTTTCAAAATGTTGCTCTGGGATGGCACTAGACACAGAAAAGGTGAGAAAAATCTTTTCTTCCTGTTGTACCTCTATTAAGTCCTGCTTCTTCTGGGAACTTAGTATTAATAATAATATCAGTCAACTACATCGTAGATTAGAAAATAATTTTGGCTAGGCTAGATACTATTTAAAGCATTGTGTTGAAGGGAAAATGCATTGAGTTTTAACAACTGATAGATACACACTTTGGAACTTTGGTCAAGGAATTTTACTGACAATCCTATTTTAAGCCTTATGTTACAAACATCTCCATCTTGCTAGTGTAAAAGGGATTCTCCTAGCACCCTTGAAATTGCACTACATCTGTAAAAAGTCTGTCCTTCAGAACTGGGCTTACGAATAGGTGTAGTATGATTTCAGGAGTGCCAGAAGAATGCCTGCTACTCTTGCAATTACTTTTAATTTGATTATGTAGCTTCGAACTCAACAACCACATGAAACCTTGCTTTTGAAAAGCAACTTCTTTTAGCCTTTAGTTTATTTCAGCTTTATAGGTATTATGGCCCACATGTGAAAAGCTACTTATTTGATATTATGTATACCTATCTTTTAGTAATTAGGAAATCAGTCATTAAGTATTTTTTGAGCACTTTGTGCCAGACACCGTGCTAAACTCTGGGGATTCAAATGAATTCTGACCAACCATAAACCAGTCCCACAATGCTTATGGTTTAATGATATAAAATTTTAACTTGGTCATTTTTGTCCTGTTTTGTTTTGTTTTTAAATTGTAAACAGATCTTCAAACAAAGAAGCAGGTCTTACAAAGAAAAAAAAGAGCTAATTGGCAGGAGTCAGGAAGACCTAAGTTGAAATCCCAGTTTACACTTACTAGCTGTGTGATCCAGGGCAAGTCCCTTACCCTCTGTGAGCCTCAGTTCCTTAACTGTAAAATACAGATAATAACAGCACCTACCTTACAGGGTTGTAAGGATCGAATTAGAAAATATTTATAAAATGCATTGTAAACCTTAAAGTGTTATGTAAATGCTAACTATTATTACTATTGTAGTTAGAAGAAGAGAGTAAACATTATTGCTTCTACTTCTTGTTCCCTGTTCCTTCTCTGATCCCCCAGTCCCTTACTCCTGTTTAATCTAGACCATATAGCCAAGAACTCAACCAATCACTGCTCACCCTTGGCCACTCCTACTTTCTCTATTCTGGTTTCTGCTGGAGGAAGCTCCTGCTCTCTCATTGCTGCTGGAGGAAGTCATGGAACTATGCTGACTGGAAATTCATGCTATCAAATACCAAGAGGTTTGTAATTTCAGCTCTAGTTGACTCATCACATTCTCAATGGTAGCTTTTCCAACCCTCTTCTTCCCTTCAGTTCTCAACTCTACCTCTCCTCTTTCCATTGCTTCCACAGATAACCTCACTTGCCTCCTACTTGACTGAGATTATAGCCATCATCTATTCTTCTCCACACCCATGTAGCCCCTTTCTGATTTTGTTTTTCTTTTTTCCTTTAGAGGATGAGTCTTCCTCCTTGCCAAGTCTAACTATTCCCCTTCTTTGTTCCTCAGAGCTTTGCCTCCTCAGTCATTCCCTCTTTCTCATAGGATTAGAGGATCAAATAGGCCTAAGCCATCATCTAGTGGGGCACTCCCCTCATTTTAGATTTGAAGATACTAAGACCTGGAAAGCTGAAAAGTGAATCTGAAGCCCTGTTATGCCATTCTGATTTCTTTTTCATCTCCAATTTCTCCCTCTCCCCTGGATCCTTTTCCTCCACCTAAAGATGTGCTCAGGTCTTCTGATCCTATGAATCTTTCTTTTGATCTTGCTAGTCCCACAAAGTATCAACCTTTACCACTTTTCCTCTTTCAATTAAACTTCTAGAAATAGGCACCTATCCTATTTGCTTATATTTTAATATGTCCTCATTTCTTCATTAAAAGGCACTACAAAGTATCCTCTACTGAAATTACTCACTAATAACCTCTTAATTGTCAAATCACCAACCCTTCTTGCTCCTTATTCCTTGACCTTTAGCATTTAACATTTGATGTTGCTAACATTTGATTAAAGCTTTCCATGATTTTCCTAGCTGAAAGGGACCTTCTCTCATTTCTTGAAATTTCTTACAGAAACTTGTCTAGATCTTTCCTTTGCTTTTATTACATTTTGCCTTGTACCATACTTCTTTATATACTATATTTATCTTCCATATTAAATTATAATTTCCATGAGAGCAGGAACCATGTCATTTTCCTTTTTAATTTTTAAACTTGAACACGGAAGCTTAAAAATTGAATAACAGAACTAGAGTTAGAAGGAACCTCAGAAACCATCTAGTACAATCCATACCTGAGAAGAAAAATCTCCTTTACAACAAATCTGGACAAATGGTAAACTACCTGACAAAGCAGTCCATTCTCCTTTTTTGGTTAAGCTCAATTAAGATCATTAATGGACTCCTTTTCTCTCACTTTCTCCTGGATTGCCAGGATAGTTTCCAAAAAGTTATTATGAATTATTTTAAAAACACATTCAAGTGCTTCATGAGCTGTGAGGTTTCCTTTGAGAAAACTGCTATAGTATTTGGATTGTGTCTCAGGGAGAGGTGAATGATGGGAAGGTGAATTTGTTAAATAGGATTTACTGAAGATTCAAGATTTGAGGCATAAACATTTAGTTCTCCTTTTAACAAATTTGTCTAAACATATATTATATCCAACTAAAAATCCAAATTATTAAAGTAATTCATCCCTGAAAAATGTTACCTAAAATAGGTGAATTCACTCAAACTGGAGGGAAGTAGAAGTATTTTAGAAATAAAAGAATAATGAACCAAATAAGCATTAAAAACTTTGGCATAACTTGGGTACTTTTCTTGGTGGATTCATGGAAAAAATTCTTGGAAATATAACCTTGACTAACAGTTAATGTAGAGGAGCTCTAATAATTCTAATAGGTAGCATTTATGTAGTGCTTTAAGGTTTGCAAAAGGAAAGTACTTTAATTACTAGTGAGAGAAGGATTAATAAACCACTATTAATAAACCACTTTCTGATTAGTGGTCCTTGCTCACAAGAAATATTTTTCCGTAAAGTAAGACATGAGAGACCACATGTGAAGAAATACATGCAAGAGGAAAATGTAGCTTTCTTCTACATACCTAGTATGCATATTTTATAATTCATCTTCCCCATTAGTGAATTTTTGAAGAATATTTCTCTTTATAAATAGCTTTAGATCTCAAAACATCATAAATATTAAGTAGCTCCAGGGTGCTGGATTATGACATAAACTACAGTGATTTACCAGTATCCATAGAGAGCAATTCCCCTTTGAATGGAGCTAAGCCTTTGTGTTGATGAAGGGTTTTATCACTGGGACTACTGGATTAAAAATTAAATCACCTCCCTTGAAGAAAATTTAAGGATATAATGAATGAAATTAACCTAGTTGGACAAAAGGAGTAGAAGTATCACAAAGCCAAACATAGCAGCCCTTCCTCCACCCAGGTTGTACTTTTTTTCCCCCACTAGAACTTGTTTTGGTTCTGTAGCCTGCACTCAATTATCCACAGCAATATTTTTCTAAAAGAGCATGTGGAAAGATGAGATATTTGTTCTCAAAACATGAGCGTCATAGACCCAGCAAAGTCTGATAGTATTTATATAAGCACTAACTCTCAAATTCTCAACCCGAGATGGAAGTACTACTTTGCTTATGATCATGTTTTGAGAACTTGAGAGAACCCAGATTAGAATATTTACTCAGATTTTATATTCACCTAAACATTTCTGGATGATAAGAGATAATAATAGTATGGTATGAAGAATTACAGTGAGGCACATTTTCCACCACTACATGTTTAAAAGGACCAATTGATGCCATTTAATAATGGATTACTATTATTCACCTGAATATTCACCTCAGTATTTTCTGAAAAACTTGAGAAGATAAGTTATAAATAGGTAAGTACATTTTCTCTTATTTTTTTTTACTTTTTTTTGTATTTGTATCATTTTTATTTCTGAATCCATCTCTCCCTCTTTTTTCCTACTCAGTGAACCATCTCTTACAATAAAAAAAGGAAAAAAAAAAAGGAAGCAGTTCAGCAAACTTAACCAACATATCAGTTGAGTATTACAGCATATATAATGTTCCATTCCTGTAACGCCCTGATTCTCTAATGAAAGGAGGGAGGTACATTTTCTAATCTCTTTTTTCAGGACAAGTTTGAAACCTTACTTAAGCACATTTAGTTTCTGGTTTTTGGTTCTTTCCATTACATCAATGTAGTAATTGTGTATACTGTTTTTCTGGCTCTGCATCAGTTCATATAAACAGGTGCGCATATTTTCAACATGATTCTCTAGCTTCACACTTTCTGCCTCCATTATTACTTTGTTTTAAAACGTGTTTTTGAAGTTCCTAATCATATAGAATGTTAGTTAGAAATAAGGTTGCTAGAGCACCACAAAGAAAACTTTTATTTTACAATGCAAATGCTATTACCTATATCTCTAAACTACACTCAAGACACTGCAACATATGCACCATCTAATCACCAAAACACATATTAAAATTACATGTGGAGAAAAGGAAAAACCTCAAATTTAAAACAAATATAACTGTAGATGGAAAGGTATAAAAATAAATGAAGCTTGGCTATTCCCAAGAGATTCTCATCTTGTTTTCATGAGGATCCTAAGGGGACAACATTCAACCAGCCTTAGTCTAATATAACTCAGGGCAATTAAAAACTAATTACAGCATGCACAAAGATCCAGTGAAACTCATAAACATATAAAATAACTACAATGAAGTGGCTGACCTCCAATGATTACGATAATTTTAATATATTGTAGGGTTCCAAAATTAAGGGTAACTTTTTCTCATGGTAGTCATTCTTTATTGAATTTCAGATTTTACAGATCTACCCTATATGCACATATGAATTTAAGATATTTTTAAAAAATATTGAGGCAAAATTTGTTGGTTCAAGAAACTGTACATCAAATTTAACCAACTCTCTCCCAGATTTTAAAAGGCAATAAATCAATGAAACATCTTAATGAGCTATCACAGACCTGTTTTATATCTTAATTACCTGTTATCTATGTTAAGAAATCTTAAAAAAAAAAAAGTTTTCCCTTCCTAGATGAAACCCTAATAGAAGGAATTTTTTGGTCCTATTTTAAACATACAAACACAACATAGTTCAAAAGACCTTTGATTTAATCAGTGGGCTTACTCCCTCATACCTTAATAGACAATCTTCATAATGTGGTGTGAGCCCCTCAAATTATACTTGGTAGTTAACCTCATGGTGATAAGCCTCTCTGAATTTAGACACTAGTTTGCATAATGTTTTAGGCATCCCACATTATTCCTACTCCAATGCTCTGGTACATTCTATCAAGTTGGAAAGGTTTCAAGTAAGGGCCAGTCAAGGGACCTGAGTACCTTTTGTCCAATGACCAACCTAGCTAAATTTGGAAAGGATCATCAGCAGGTTGGCTATAATGTTGAATTTTCATGATATAAAGTACTTCCCTCCTGGGACATGATAGTTGATAGGGCATAAACCAAGTATAATCCAAGTGGTTAAGATAAAATATAAACTGCATTTTTTTATTTGAATCAGAATTCTAACACAAGTAATTTTTCTATATTGCACATGCAAATCACTTGGAAGTCTTCCACATTTGAATAAGTGGTTGATTTTATTAAATGAAATCCCCCTTAATAGCATCCCCCTGGAAAGGAATTCAAAGACACCATCTAGTCTTTATCCACATGTTCCAGTTAAGGGGAAAAGCTAAGTTATCTCAAAGAAATATCTCTGCCATTTAGAGAATAACCATTTTTTTTCTCAAAAAAAAGGCAATTTGATATGTTACAAAATTTTCAAATAGTCATTGTTGGCTGATTTCTTTAGGTCACTGTTTAGCCTGTTAAGAGTGCTTAAGAGGAAAAAGTTAAAATTCTGAAGATATTTACTGAGTGTCCATTATATGTGTGGGAGCTATAGGAAGACATTAAATGTATATGGCATAGTTCTCATCCTGAAGGAACTTATATTCTCAGCTGAGAACAAACATATACCATACACCCAAAACAATTAGAACAGGGTGAAAAAAAAAAGAATAAATACTAAAATAAGTAGTACAGACTAAGTGAGAGTAAAATACAAAGTACTAATGTGAACAGGAATGATCAGGTTTCATGGACTTGAAATGAGATTTTAAGGAGAGCCATGATTTGGATAGACAGAAAGGGAGGCAGCATTCCAGGTTATGGGAACAGTGCAACACAGGTGGGAACAACTATGACAAGTTGGCAACAATCAGGAATGCTTCTTAGTCTTAATTGTGAACATGGAGATACCAATGCAGTCCAACCCAATCACAATTTTCATTAAAGCTGTTGTCAAAGTAATCCATTAGAAATTATTTGAATCTATTTAATTTACAAATGGAGTATAATGTTAAGTTTTGGGCACCACAGTTTAAAGAGGACATTGATAACCTGGAGAGTGTCTAGAGGAGGGTAACTGGAAGGGTGAAGGGCCTTGAGTCCACGTTGAATGAAAATCAGTTGAACAAATAGATGTTGTTAGGCCTGGAGAAGACAAGACTCAAGTAGGACCTGATGGTTATCTTTAGGCATTTGAAATGCTGTCAAAAGGAGGAGGGATTAGATTTATTTTATTTAGCCCAAAGGAACAAAACCATGAATAATGGGTACCAGTTGCAGAGGAAAATTTAGGTTCCATGTCAGGAAAAACTTTCAAACCTGCTGACAACTGGAGTTGTCCAAAACCAGAATGAGACGCCTGGAGCTTCCTCCTTCTTGGAGGTCTTCAAGGACAGGTGTCGTAGTACGGATTGATACCTTTTATGTATGCGTTGGACTAAATGGCTACTGAGATTTCTCCTGTAACAGATGATTATGTGAAGGCAGACCACTCTAACAGGTCTTAAAGTTGCATAATTTTCTTCATAATTCAAAATATAAAATTGCCACAGTAGTTTTTAAAAAAGAAAATGCATTTATTATCAAGATTCATTAAATACAGTTAAAATATTGTTTTATCCTGTCAGTATCTGCACATCGTAATAGTAGTTCAAAGCACAATGCATAATTGTCCTAGTTGAAAAAGCTTCAAATTTACTTTAAAATGTTTCTGCCAAAAGAAAGCTAGTAGTGTTAAGTTTTAAGTTAATATAAGCACTGAAATTCAAATTATAAATATCCTATTAAATTATTAAAAATAAATGTCACATTTAATGAATCATTTAGACAATGAAAATTCAACCATCTGATATTTTAAAAAAACACTGGTATTTTACAAATAAGTCTTTTTTTGCATATTTGAGCTGAATGATATTTTGGGCCACTTTACAAAATATACTGATAGTAAGAGTAAGCAAAACATAAAGCTAATATACTGATTTGTCTTCAGGTTAGTAAATAATCTTAATGTTGAACAAATGTTTACCCTTGTAGAAATGAAGCTACTTTTAAGTGGTTTAGTGGATTTTCAAATACAATCAAGATTCACGGTTACATTTCCTATCATTTTTCATTACTTATCTCAGATGTTCCTTCTTCACAGTTAACAAGGATTGGGTTCTGGGAGTTAGATGAAAACTCTTTTTCTGAATGTCTTTTTTCAACCTCAGTTTTTCCCACAGAAACAAAAACTTTTGTCCCAAATCATGGAAATATTATAAAGATCTCCCTTGAGTATTTTTCATGGCTTGAAAGCTCAGCAATAGAGAAAAATGTTTACTGAGGTAATAGCTTATAACTTCTAAATGTATAAAGTACAAAAAGTTTAGCAATTCAATTCAGGTATCTTCAATTTGTTTATTTTATATGACATACACCCATCTTATATGGCTGTTCTGAGGAAAGCATTTTGAAAACTATAAAGAACCACATTAGTGGGAGATACTATTGTGCATTTTTCCCTTATAATTTTTCTATTTGGTAAAAAAGACAGTAATTTTACATAAATTGTCAGAGGACCAAGCATCTACAAAATGAAAAAGAAGTTGAACATTAAATCTGCAAGCCTGATTTGACATTATGTAGACAAAAACAACAAAGCTGATTGAATTTGACCTAAAATTGGTCAAAAGCCGTGTTTGTGCAATATAGACTTGCCCAACATCATATAATCAGTCAGTATCCATGAGAAATAGAAAATACTCCTAATCCAACGTCTTCCACTAGAATGAAAAGCAGCCTTTTAAAAAAATCTCATTGGCCAAGATCACGATAGAAGTTTCAGTAACTAAGCACATATACACTGATTCAAATGTTTAATATTCAGAAAGACTAAAATAATTTTTTTCAATGCAGAAATCAGAATTCAATTCAATGAACATCTACCAAGCACCTGTTATGTGCCCTGTACTGTGAGTAGAAAGGGTTTGCAAAATTCTCTTTAAATATGCCCACTTCCCATTGGCCTCTGTGTGCATAGGCCAATAGCTAGGCCAAAATTCTCACTGGAAAAAAAAAAGGCAGCCACAGAACTCACCCTCTAAGAAATAATTTAAAAGTTAAGTTTTTATGCAAGTTGAAATAAAAGGATCGGGAAGTTAAAAGGATTCTCAAGTGCACATTTCATAATTCGATTTTAGGAAAACCTAAAAGGAAGGGAATGTTGAGATCCTTTCCCCCACCTCAATGGCTTCACACTTCAGTAGTATCTGAATCTAAATAAATAAAAGTTATATGTACAAAACATTTACATACATATCTCATATAGAGGAATAGTCAATAATCTATAAATAGTTTTATATATCTTATACTAGTTACAATTTTTTGCTATTGGTGTTAAGGACAAGTAAATACAAGTTTATTGTTTTATAAGATAAGCTCAAAAAGGAAACTTTGTTTCTCTTGAAACTAATAGGGGAAAAAAGAAAATGTGAACTTCTAATACTAAATCTTGTCCTCTAATTTTTATTCACTGAGATTGTTTTAAACTTTACTTTAAGTGATTAGGTAATTTTGTACAGTGCTCCTTAAAATTATAAAGTTAAAACAAGACTTGAATTTACCTTCTTTAACAACTGCACATTATTTTTAGTTAACTTGTTAAGTTACATTTGAGTTATTGCATTGACCAATCTAACTTTTTAAAAACATGTTGCCTGTCATGAGAGTTAAAAAATAATTTCCTCTTTCTGAGTTTATTTGATAGTTTTAACAAAAAGTTTTACCACTGAAAGCAGTGATAAAGCAATGCTTAGCAATAAAGGAAATGTTATCAGCTCACATTTTCAAACTGGAAGAAATCTCAAGAAATATAAAGATTATTAAATTAAAATTATTATAAATAATTATTTCAATTACATGAAACAGAATTTTTATTTTAAGGCATATGCAGCAGAAAAAAAAATCACAAGCAATTTTGGCTTAATGTGATAAAGCAGAAAATGATAAGTGCCTATCAAGTTTTAAGGCTTTAACTGTCAGAGTTTAGCTGAAATAGAATTTTTGCAAAAGAACTGTTAGATGAAAAATTTTATTGACATTATACATCAAAATATAAAAAATATAAAAAGCTTTTCAAGCAATTTAATCTTATTCTCTCTTTCACTATCAGAGTCTACCAAATAAACTGGATTCTCAATAAGAAACTGTTTTAGGAAGCCAAGCTTAATTTTTTTGTCCTAGATAAGGCATTCATTTGATAAGAACCTACAAAAACCTAGGTTTTGGTCCCAGTTAGGCCACTAACAAGCATTAACTTGGCTCACAAACTCTTTGGACTTTAGTTTCTTCATTTTCAAACTGAAGGATAAGGCTAGAATATTCTCAAGGGTCCCACCAGTTCTTAAATTCTATGGCTCTCTGATTGTTAAATACACTAGGCAAAAATAAGGGTGGTCCTGGTGTTCAGATGGCCTAAAGGGAATTGTTTTAAGAAACTATGCTTAAATCACTTTAGCTCCTTCCATTGGTAATTAACTAATGCAAAGTTAAACATTAAACCAAAGAACCAAATTCCCTTATGGTCCAAATTTTGTCTGTATCATACTCTGATTTTTGAAAGAGAAAAGTTAGCTATGACTCAGTAAGTTATACTTTGTCCTTAAAAATAGATCACAGCTACATATCATACATATTTTGTAAATTATTTACTGAACTGTACTATCTTGGCAGTTGCACAATCAGCCTTTGTTAAGGGATTCATAGGAAGAGCAAAAGTAAAAAAAAAAAAAAGGTATAAAGGTGATTTTTGACTCACTGACCTCTAGAAGACCTGGATTTATGTCTTTGGATTAATTGCCAGATTCCCAATGCAATGAGCCTTAAATCATAGAACATTAGAGCAGGAATGGGACTTCAGAGTTCACCTAATCTAATCCTTTCACAGGTGAAGAAACAAAGACAGAGAAACTAATGTGGCTAGAGGGACTAAAATTGAGTTTCTTGACAATTTAGTGTTCCTTCCATCACATCACACTTTGTATGTTATCAGGCTACCACACGATTACAGCCACCCAAACAAAATCTAATGTTAATGAAAAAATGAAAGTTACCATGTCAAGGCATGATAAGCTATTAGAAAACAGATTTAATTTTTGGTGTTGGTGACTAAAATTTTAGTCACTTCTTTCTTCATCAGCTCTTGGAAAAAAGGTTATAACAAGATATGCTATATTAAATCCTTAATTGGCTCCCAATTTTAAAGTTGTTTTACTTGTACTACATTACATAAAAAAAGTATTTTGTGCATATTTCCCAACTCCAACATTCTATGCCCTGCTTACCTGAGAGGGTCAGTTATTAATTATTTAAAAATAGGGAACTGCTTTTTCTATATTTTAGTTATTTCTACATATATTTAAGAACTAGTAAGCTATTTGTGTGATTCTTTAATAGTACAATCTGTTCAAAGGCTCACTGTGACAAAAATAGCAATTTGTCACTAGTCGTGGAACCAAATTGAAGCCAGAAGAAAAGTATTTAACCAGAGGCCCAGGGGCAAGATATGCTTTTAGAAAAAAATATTCTGCATACAATGCATTTGAAAATTGCACAGACCATATGTTTTTATTTAATGTGAAGGCACAACTAACATTTTGGCTCTTAAAATACATTTTAATTATTTATGCTGTACTTTGTACAAGCTCATAAAAAAATACATATGCAAGCATTACAAATTATTAAAGATTCTTTCAAATTTCCCATTCAAAATTCATATTTAAAAAAATCAAACTTCATTGTCTATCTGTAGAAAAATGTATACAATAGATTATTGCAGGTTCACCTAATATCACTGTCTGACAGTTTGTTGATCGGTTGTCACATTTTCTTCACTAGCTCCAGAGTCCAAGTTTTCCATCATCTAAACACAAAAGAAAACATGAAAAAATCTCAATATTCCCCAATTTTTCAATGAGTTGACAGAGAAAGCCCGTAGTTCCCAGGAGGACATCACATGAACCCTCGAGGTTGGAAAGTGTCCCCTTTGCTAAGAGGTAAGAAGAGAATACATTCTAAATATGAAGGACACCTTCATGTGAATTGGAGTGTAGGTCCTGGAGAATGTGTGAGTAGCCACCCTTTCTCTTCTTCTCCTTTTGATTGATCAGGTGCTCCTTTCAAAATGTGACCCCAACCCCCACCATCTTACTGTCTAAGAGAAAATGAATTTTCAAATGCGTTTGTAGAAACGAATGTTCTCTTAACATACTTCCTATCCCTTAAAATCTTTCCAATAAAAAGAAAAAAATTCAGATTCAAATACAAATGCAAAGCTCTTTGTTAAATGCTAAACTTTTGATATGCCCTGAATGTCTTCTAAAATTTACAAAAGGAAACAAAATATTTTTCCTAAGTCATCACATCTTCAAAAAGACGTAAAACTAATGACAATATAGACAGAAGGAAAGCAAAAAAAATAGTGAACAGACTAGCACAAAATGGAGATTTTTCTCTGAACTTGAAAAGTGTTGATTTGGTCATTTACAGATAGCTATCCTATTTATAAATGGGGCCTTCTCAAAAATCAGGCCATTAAATATTCAATAAAATGATAAAACTGGAAAGGTGCTGATATCAAGATTTAAATGGCTGTTCTGAGTGCTTTTACATTATCACTTGTTAGTTTCAGCTTGTGACTTCTAAAAATAATAGAAGTACTTGTGACATTTAGCAGAGCCAAAATGGATGGATTGTAGGATGCTAGCCAGCTGTAAAGTTATTTCCCATTCAGATAAAAATAATGACAAAAATTGAGGCTTTTTAACCCAGTGTTTTAGGATTGGAAATTTTTACTACAAAAATAAAATGATTCTCTAAAATCCTTTACAGCTCTAAGTACATCAAGCAAACCACAGATTTTTCAAAGAAAAACATACCATTATATATTATGTTAGTCAAATCAAATCAATGAAGCAGAAAAAAATTTTTTATACTTAGAAACATATTATTCCATGGCAGCTCATGTACATATAGAACAAATATGTAATTTGTTTTCTCCAAGTTAAGAATGCTTCGATGAGTCTGAATTCTTGATGTAGGCATTTACTACTTCTGTGCAGAAAAGACCACATAGGATGGAGAATAAAGACTAAAGAATAAATCCCTTGCTTTTTTAAAGCAGACCTTTCATGCTATAAGCACAGATGTAAGCAGTCTGCTCTTTGAATCACATAATTTTTTCTCCACTAGAACTTGAGTTCCTTAAGAGACTTAGTGATTGCTTCATTCTTTGTATTTGTACCCCTATAGCCTAGCTTGGTGTCTGGCATGTAGCAAATGCTTAATAAATGCTTCTGATTAGTTGTTTGATGAATAGGAAGACTACATAATGGAAAAAAGTGATAATGGCAATATATCAAATAAGTATCTATCACTGAATCAGAAAATCCTACAATTGGGAGGGATCTAAATGTCATCTAATAATATAGCTGCTTCCCAAGCAGTATCTGTCATTCACATTCAGCTCTGCATGTCTAATGTTTTTATGAATGCTTAAGAAGTGGTAAAATATTTTTGCTGACACTCAACAATTTTTAAATACAGCAATATATTATATCACTGTATTCTTTTGTGTCCTGAAGGGTTTTTGGTCTTAAAGAGTTCTTTATTAAAACACAGATACCCCACACAGATACTGCTTTGAGGGTGACTTTCTTCTGTTATTACTGGGTCACAAAAGGCCACTAATTTTTTAAGATTTTCTCTTAACTATGAAACTTCTGTGGGGCTGTGAATTAAGGATAAGAATTTTGGAGTTGATCTGAAAGACAATGAGAGACTATTTTGCCCTTTTGTGCAGCAGAATGATATGATGAAAATGATCTTAGATGAAGATGACTGTGATGGCAGAAACATATTGCTGGTTTGTATAAGTCATTAATATGACAGTACTAGAAAAATGACCACTGCCACCTTAAAGTGGGAGTAGTTAAAAAACAGGATCGCAAAGGAACATTTTTCCATTCTCTCTGATGAAGTATGGACTTGACTTAACTGTGTGTGACCTACTGGCAAATGTTAATCTATGATGCAAGAACATTTTCACCCGACTGAGAGTATACATTCCTTTCAGGGCAGCTTCTCTCTTCATTCAAATATTCCAGAAATGTCATTCAGCTTCTTTAAAAATTATGAATAGCTTCTTTAGCACTTTGATAATTGTTATGCATAGAAAATAAAATATATTTATTCCCCTAACTTCCTTTCCAAATATTTTTATTCTAAGATAGGGGAACAGGATGAGGTCAAAAGATTCTGGGTCTCATCCATGTTTCCAGGAGAGAAAGGAGAGAATGTTAGGTGACTGAAAGGCATTTACATTTATTATTTCCTATTTCTTTTTGAGTTACATTTTTAATTAACCCTTTTTAAGGATTTTAGGAATCATTTTTTATAACTGTAAATGAATCATTAATTCATCAAAGCAGATCCAATAGGATCTCTGCTTTGAGGCAGATTAAGGTGTATATGGTATGTACAATTCTTGAAAGGTGTACATTTTGTATTTTTTTTAAAAAGTTTTATGTATTAACTTCCTATAACTTTTTATAAATTAATTTAATTAAATTTCACTAACTCAGACTTGGGACTCCTAACCTCTTAGAAAGGGCTTACTATAGTACAGAGTAGTAGGTGGATGGAAGGTATTAATTTCAACTTGTAAAAAAGATAATATATGGGGGACACATTAATTTCTCTATAAATAAAACTTCTGTATTGGATACTTAGGCTACCTATCCCACTTCAAACAAAACTTGCCTAGTTTGTGTCTATGGCATAAACACAATAGTCACAGTGAGTTACTAATAAACTATTCCTTTCTCTCCCCTCCTGCACATCTCCTTTGGGTGGATTTAGTGAAATGCTACTCTTATTTACTTTTTTTTTTCTTATTTACTTTCTCTATTGATACTAAAAGTATATTGAATCTGTACATTTTTATACTTGTATAGTATTACCAATTGAATTAGATATGTTCATAATTAGAGCAGGTCTTAGTTCTCAAATTCATGAATAATTTTCATTAAACTTCTAAAACACTGGGATTCTGATTCATGGTTTCCACATATATAAATAGATGTGGTATCAGCAGAAATGGGGTCCAAATGTGGCTGCTTCTACCCACCTCCCTTCCAAGAAGAGTTATGTCTTATAACTCAGCAGATAAATAATACACTTAATTATGGGATAGTCCATAAGAAACTATCTAAAAAGTAAAAGCAAGCCTTGCTATAAACTGTTGCCTTTCAACATGACTTAGCATAATAATGACACTTTGATGCATCAGTAATCTCACTTTCTCCCTTGGCTCAGATGACAATCTTCCACGTCTTCTCATCTTGTTCAAGTCCTTCCATTGATCTTTCAAATGAATGAATAAATGAAAAAGCATTTATTAAGTGCTTACTGTATGCCTAGCACTGTGATAAACCTTGGGAGATACAAATTCAAAAGAGAGGTAGTCCCTTTCTTCACAGAGCTTACATGTTAATAATACAAGTAGGGAAGAGCATTATCTGCCATGTAGTTTAGATTAGATTTTTCTTACAAGGTATTGAAACCATTCTCGAGACAGGCGTGGGCCAGTGGTGTCTCCTGGTGAGCGCAGTACACAAGACAGCCAACAAGGAGGCAGGAAAGCTGCACCCAAGTGAATCAATGTTGGTTCCTTACTGAGCGTCCTTTCAATGTGGTGGCTAATTCAACTTCCAGTTATTAATTGTTAGATGAGCTATTAGTTTCTTTTTTTCTTCTGAACCTGAAGCACCAGAAGAAGTTCTGGCCTACAACTGGTAGAAGTGACAGTGTTGGATTGGAATGGCTTTGCTGAAGTGGGAAAAAGGGAATGCAGAGAAAAGCAAGCCCTGGGTGGTCTCCTTGCTTACTGAGGGTGGTAACGGGTGCATATTGTGAGAAAATCTCATTGCCCCAAGGGGATTAGGGAGGGAGAGGGAAGGGGGAGGAAGAGAGAGTTAGAACTGACTGTGGGTGTTTAGCAATTAGAGACATATGTGAATGTGCTTAGTCTTTAAGAATCATGCGCTGATAATAATAAATGCTATAAACTACTATTTGATGGATTTGTATAATTTTTCTATTTGGGCATAGTGATCTCCAGGCTCACCAGCTGTGGCAGGCTTGAGCCTTTCCTTAAGAATGGAATGCAAAAATTGTCTAAGAACTGTTCTGAAGAACACATCAGGATTTTTCTATTGTACTTGGAGACCTTTACTGGTATTCTCTGGTTAAAGGCACTGGGGGAGCCCCATGAAAGGACAATGCTTGTTCTTCTCCAGGAGCCTAGCAATCTTTCCAGAACTGGGGATGTGGACAGATGTGCCACATGGACAACAGCTGATCTGCTGAGGACAGGAGGCACTAGATCAATTTAAAAAGAGCAGAAGAAGACTGCTTCCATTCTTGCTACTGTGAACCATAGTTTTCTTTCTCTCTGGGACTTCCAGTTAGGGATAGGTGGATTAACTCCCTGCGGGATGGATCCTACTACATGTCCCAGCATGGGAGGGGAAAGCACAATCACCCTCAACAATGTTTGACCTAGCCCAGCACAGTAAAGCTCAGGCTCTGGTAGTGGCAGCTCCCACTGGAGCACTTGGCTCTGCCATAGAGAGACAGCCCTTAGACCTCAGCCTTGGCAGCATTTGCAACAGCACTTAGCCTGCAACAGACATGGCACTAAATCTTGGCATGGGGGTGGGCAGAGCTAGTCCTTCCCAGAGTAGTGGAGTGGACAGTATCACAAGCAGAGCAGGCAATGGTATGGGTGCCAAGGAATGGGCACTGGTTTGTGCCAAAGCAAAGGCAGGACCCATGAAGCCCTTTTCTTACTGTAATCTGGAACTGTGACTGGGTTCTCCCCAGACTGTTGGCAATACAGTAATCATTAGTTCCTGGTTAATTCCTTCTTACAACTGACTTAGAGAACCAAAGTGTAACACTGATGGGAGATATAGTATTAAAACTGTCTCCAAGTCCTTTGGAAGAGGGGAGCAGAGGCCTCTATAGGGACACATATTTAGTATTCCCCATATGCCCCTCCTCCCTAATGGAACTCCCAATTCCTGGTTGGTGGATCAAGGAATATGGAGTAGGTAGTGGTACAGGATGAATCTCAATATTGACCCTCGCACTGGGACAGGCTGCATGCATGACCTCTTAGCTACCTTTGGAGAGATGACCCTGACCCAAGATGAGGATCAATGACTGTGCCAGAAGTATCATCCTCTGTGCTGTGGCCTTCATGTTCCTGGTGTTGCTCCTGTTCATCATCACCGCTTTCCACTGGGACTCCCACTGTAAACTGCAAAGATTTGGTATCACCCACTACAGGCCCTAGATTGTTAAGATCTGGCCCTTGGTCCTTCTCAGGAATGGGGGAAGATGAAACGAGGAATTTCTGGTCTTCATTCACTTCCGTAGTCAGTCACTCCTTCATGGGTCATTATTACATTATTTGTCTCTTTTTTTTTCCTCCTGTTTTTCTTTTATCTTCACTAAGCTCTTCTTCCAGTGTTGCCTATAGTAGACTTCTAGTATCCCTGAAATGAGGGCTGTCTAGTAATGGCTCTAAAGCCATTTAAGTGGTGGAAGATTATCTGAAAACCTTTGGAACTTTGCCACTAGGTGGTAAGGTGTGGCAGGAATATTATATGCTACTCAGACTAGACTAGCTTTTCCTTTCCATACAGAAACACTCCTTGAGACTTAACTGACTGAGGAAACTAAGGCTCTTGCCAGTGATATAACTCCTGGTGGCTGGGCGGGGGGGGGGGGGGGGGCGGAAGGGGCGGGCAGTACAGAGAGGCACAGAAATTGCATTTATGTGAATCAACACTGTGTCCTTGTTGAGTCCTTTCTATGCTATGGTTAAGGTGACTTTGTCTTATAAATTGTTAGGCAGTTAAGTGTCTATGAGTGTCTTATGTCATTCCAACTCTGAACGTGAAGCACCAGATTAGCCTGAATCAGGCTGGGCCTACCATAGGAAGATAATGCAAAAAAAAGAATGGTGCCCAAGGCTGTTTTCTCCTTTTAGTGAATCTGGTGAATGGAGCTATATAGCAATCAACTGACAAACCTTTTCCAACAATAATGATATTGATGATTTGATTGCAATTCACAAAGAACATCAACCCAACACAGAGGCCTTTGTAGGTAGAATTTAATGGAGACCAGTGCAATATTTGGCCTATCCATCTGGTATTCATCATTTTCACTTTATAATAGTATGACTTATTTTATTTTTTTAAGACATCCAGGAAACCCTAAGACAAGATGAGATTTAATTCTTTCAATGTTTATTTTTAAGTCAACAAAATGTTAACTGCCCTTGTTAAATTGGTATTCTTCAAAGTGATTACACTTTGAAAAGAATCTGAGCTAATAAAAACCTGACAGTAATCTTTTATAACATTACTGGACCAAGTTGTTTCTCCATGTGCACTAAATTTTTAAATATGAAGATTCTGATAAATGGGCAAAATTTATGCAAGGTGATTCCAGGACATTAAAGTAAATCAATGCCAAGAGAAAATATGTTTTAACATTTAAAGGTTATAAAACATTTTAATCAATAATTTAGACTTTCCATTATGGGGTCTTAACCCCACTGAGGCATTTAGGAACAATGCCTTATCTGAAGTCCCATGGAGATTTCATAAAGGGATCAAATATGAAGACATGAGCTCGAAGTAATGGGAGGAGTTTTCCTAATTTTATTCATAATGGATATTGTAAATATTGATATCACAGATATGACATGGCCTAAGGATTTTGTGTAATTAATTTTCCATTTAAGAAGAGCTTTCAGCTCAGAACATCTCATTTCTTACCTACTACTCTGAGACTTCTCTGACTTTTTCAACATGCCCTCATGCCTCTCCTCTCCCCCATCTTTTGCTTTTCAGTTTTCTTTTGTGTTTTGTCTTCTCCTGTTAGACTGTAACCTCTTTGAGGGCAGGAGCTGTGGTTTTTTTCCCTTCACATTTGTATCTGTAGCACTTAGCACTGTATATGGCACATAGTAGGTGCTTAATAGATATTTGCTGACTGGCTGACAGCTTAGTTAACTGGACTTGGAATATACTCATCATAACACGGACCAAAGCCATGACTCTGACCTTGGTAGCAAAGTGCTTCTATCTAGAGTTTCCCAACTATTTTCAGTCATAACAAGCTTGTAAACATTGTGTGGGTGAGGCAGGGGAGGGAGAAAAAGGAGGACTTAGCTTTAGTGAACTTGGGAGGAATTTAGTTTCACTGAAGAGACAGCCCAACACCCAACATAAACAAGTTCTGATAATGAAAATTTTCTCTTCCCTAGAAATTTACAGGCTAGCTAATATATCATGTTTAAATTCATCATCACTGCTTTGTCTCTGTCTCTCTTTTTAACCAAACTTTTGATTTCATTATGGTAAGAAATTCCTAGAAAGAAAACTTGTTCTTATCAAAGCTGGCCTATATCTGTTTTAGAGTTGCTTCGGGCAGAGAAATTAAATGATTTGCCCAAGGTCATTATCTATGTATCAAAGACAGGACTTAAACCCAGGTCTTCCATTCTCCAAAGCTGGCTTCTTATTCACTATGCCACCTTGTCTCTCATCCTGAAACATTTTTATAAGCATCTTTAGGAGCTTAAGAGCAGTTGGTTATTTAGTTATATAAAATTATTGCTTTGGCTACTTATGGAGATTAAAAGTTAATTTTTAAGTAAAATTATATTTTCCATGAATCATGCTTTTGTATGTCTGAAGATATGTTTAGGAACTTGAAGTGACTTTTGTTTTCTGAAGTGGTTTCCCTCCTAATTTTTATCTTCTTCTTTCCATAGGTATGGTTTTTCAAAGTATCTTCTAAGATTTGTGCTTTTGGCTTCAGATACAGAGAGGAAGCTGTCAGAAACTGATGATGTGGCAGGTAGGCAGCCACCAGAAGATTCATCCTGTTTATGTTTTCATGACTCACCAAAATAATCGAGGAGACAGTGACAAGTCAATTAAGCTAACTAGTCATAAAGGTAAGTCAAAGTATCAACACAGAAGCCTAAGTACATACCTGGTAGCTAGTGCCTTTCCAGATCTTTTTTATTTCCTTACGCCTCCAAGCAACAATCACAACAGTAATAAGTGTGCAAGGTACTAAGTAAAGAAGAGCCGGCTGCCCCTGCTTCATCAGTATCAGAACTATAAATGTGAGCAACATGCCCACAGCATAGGCTGCAAGAGGAAGAATGCTACATTTTAGTCATTTACATTCACAGGCACTTGTGCTGGTATTTTAAAAATTACTAAAGACTTTATGTTTAAACATCTTGAAGACCCCGGCAAACTAGCTTCTATTTACAGTTTTAAGATTGTTCTGCTCCAAGCTTTTTAAAAGCTAATCCCACAATCTCTTAAAAGTTAAGAAAATGATTAGATTGTGTGCATAGTATTAGTTTAATTATTATTCATCAGTGATAAAAATAGTAACAGTAATGCTGCCATTATCTGGTATCACCAGAGAAGGAATTGTTCCATAGTCCAAACAATTAAAACGAAATTATTCCACTGAGTGACGATACTTTGTTTCAACCACTTTGGATAGTTAAAAAAGTACTACAGATTTTTGCAGACTCCTTAAACAGGAGAAAAGTATATTTAGAAACAGTTAAGCTTTTTTGGATGATCCAAAGTAACCATTTTGAACACACAATCACAGAATGTTAGAGCTGGAACAAACCTTGGAGATCGATATAGGCCAATTCCATAATTTTACACAGGAAGAAGCTGAGGCTCAGAGGAGTCAAAGGTCAAACAGCTCCCCAGTCCAGTGCTTCTTCCATTGTATCAGAATGCCTTTTAAAATGCTACATTATGTGATAACTTTAGGGCTTACTGAGAGATACAGAGCTGCTTGACTCTAGCCTATATTTTTAAAATCCTTTGGTTTGATGTTTTCCATTTTAATTTCCTTTTTTAAAAAAAAAGCTTTTCCCATCTTTCTTACTGTTAGACTATCAACTATCTTTTCTGTAAGTGTGATTGACTGTAATAAAGCTCCTTCTTTGGCTTGTTTTGATTTGCTATGGGCTAAGAAACTAGATCAGGGAGTCTGTTATAACTGTATCTAAACCAAAAGGCTGTGAGCAAAGGCTAGAAGCGCCATCCTGTGAATGAAGAGTATGTACTTTATTCCTGGATGGTTGCTCAGAAGTCTTCATGGGTATTTCCTGGTTGTTGTATGTGTCCTAGATAATTGTAGTTCCAGGATAAGTGAATTCCTAATAAGCAAACTGTTATACTTTATATTTAAATGAATCTTCCTTTGCTTTCAAATCTATTTTTGGGGTGGACGGTAGACTCGGACAACCAGTGATTTCTTCGGCAGAAGGAACTCCCAATTAGGAAATTCCCTTTTACTAAAGAAGAGCTGTACTTGCTTTACCAATTAATAGCCTTAGGAAGTTGCCCGGAAGCACCGAGAAGTGAGTAAAGTGATTTTTCTGGGGTCGTACAGTCAATCTCTTTGTAAGAGGAATGGCTTAAAAACAGATCTTCCTGCCTCCAAGGCTGGCTCTCTGGTCACTATACCAGGCTAGCTTTCTGAAATCTAATTTTTTGCCTTACACTAATTAATATTTTTCAGTCTAATTTTCTCCTTTCAAAAATCTTGTGAATTAGGTAAAGTAAAGCAGATATTGCAGTCTCCCTTTGGCAGATGAGTTGATTGAAGAACAAATAGTTAAGTGACTTGCATATATTCACCCAGCTAGTTACGAGCACAGTGAGAACTATAATCCGTGTGCCTTAGCACCTAGATTCCCAGACTTTTTTCTATTTGTACACAATTATGAATCAAAAAAGGAAATAAAATAACTTACCAATTACACAGGAAACATAGTAGATAGAAGAACCAACATGGATATCAAATCTTCGACAATAAGCAACCAGGAGACCTAAAAAGCCCAACAAGATTAATTTCTTAAGGGGAAAAAAAAGACCTTTAAAGATGAGTTCAATCATGTATGTGTTGCAACATGATAGTGGCAGTAAGAAAACTTGAACGCTCTAGAATAAAAGAGGCTATATAAATCTAACAAAACTTGAAACCACTAACCCTAAGATAATCTTAAGTGAGTTCTCTCTCTACTGATCTTCTAGAACTTTGTCCTCTTCTCTTGAATTCAGAATATTTTAATTTCTATTATATTAACTGTGACTTTGGCTAATCCTTCATTAGATAAGGATCACATCTTATCCTCATAGGTTCTAGATTACATGATAAAAAAAAAGGCCCATTTTCATAATAGTACAAGAAAGTTTGAAGTTTTAATTCTAAAACTTAAAAGGTCAGTAAAATATCAACTCTAGTTTTATAGGTGTACAGAAATAACCAGTTTCTTTTTACTTTTTTACTAGAGAGATCATTTGTAAAATTCAGTCTATGAAGAATTCTCAGAACTGACTGTTAATAAATATTTATATACACAAATGCACAGCTAGCTAATGTACACATCACATACATCAGTGGTAGGCTTGAAATATAATTGCTATTTTATTTAATCAAAATAATTTCCTCCTGTTGCCTGAATTCATAGAAGAAAAGGTTCATTTTCATTAATATTTAATTTAATTAGTTTTGGTCTCTGTTTAGTAAAAAAGGAAGGCTTACTATAGTTTGTTGTTTTCTACTCTTTCAATTGTTTGATCTCATTTCTACACATTCAAAGGTAACAATATTTATCATTTTGAAATGGGAAATTAAATTTTAAAATCTAGCCATGAATTTTTGACAAACTAGTAATTTTTGACATTTTAAGTTGTTTTAAAGTCCTACCATAGAAATGGTTCCCTTCTTTTTCTGTTCTGTAAAAAGGGAATTACCAAGTGACCACGCCAGGAGTTATGCTAAACAGGACTACACTGTGTCAGCTTCCACATAGGAGTACCCCTATCTTCTTTCTTCTACTGGCCATGCTGAGAGAAGTACTAACTAAGACTCTTCTTTCTTAGCTGACGGACATTACAATAGAGCTAGTACCTTCTAATGGCCTAGCTTCCCTCACAGGCATCTGATGCATAAACTGCCCGTGATCAAATATGGGCTATACCTCTCAAGAGATGGTGATTTGTTGCTGTAATACTGTGTGTATCCCTTACGTGTCTGACAGCACTGTTCTTCAAAAGTCAGGCAGAGCAGTCAGAAAAAGAGAGGATAATTAGCTAATATCTTAAGTGAAGTCTACTTCAATGGTCCAATCACACAACCCTCTCTTCAAGCATACCTCTTATTATCCTGCCCTGGTTCCTCCAACTCTACTAGATTCTTCTAAGCCATCTTACATTTTACAATAGAAATTTATAAATATAATTTGTTTCATAAGCAACTCTGGGAACAGTATCTTCTCTATAAACCTGTAGTAACAATGTAACTTACTAAAATTCAAGAGATATATGAAAAACAAGTTAAACACCCACGTTAAAAGCAAATTAAAAAAAAATTATTAGAGACAACTGCTCACCTGGAACAATAATGTCTCCAAAACCCAATATTGAAACAGGTGCTAGACACACACTCATTGCAGAGAAATATATCAGTCTTGGTACTTTGATAACGACTGGCAACTGCAGGAGGAAATACTGACATTAAGCCTCATCTGAATCTTTAATTATCACATTTAAAAAGCAATGTACTGACATTAGAACTACTGTTTTACCCATTTTAATTGACATTTAAAAAGAATTTGAAGTCAGAGGACACACATTGAACACACACACACACACATGATTTACAAAGCTTGAAAGAAGCAGATTAAGTAGCTTTAGAAAAATGAAACCCAACACACACATAGGATTAATCCTATTAATCCAATAGCCCCGCTGTCTAACTTCAACGACCAACAATATGACTCAGGTCTTGAAACAAGTTAGACTATATTTTGGCCATTTGTTTTTTCCCCCAAAGAAGAATCTTGTCTCAGAGGGTGTGATTTTAGAGTCCAGTGAACATATCTGAAATACAATCCTTACTTTCTCATGGGGAGCTGAGGGCTGAGCAGTGGCTTCCACCAAGTTTCCACCATTCTAGGATGAAACCCAAGTCAATAGGTATTTAATAATTTTAAATGACTAAAAAGTGGCTATATTTTGTAAGAAAAAAATTATACCTTAATATGCACTACATGCTCATCGAATTAAATGAGAAGACAAAATTATTAATTGCAGACACTATGGAAATGCAGCAAAATTGATTGTGCACACACACTCACTATAAATATGCACGTTTGTGTAACATATTCCTACCTTTTCATTGCTTCCAAAAGGTCCAGCTGCAACTTCGATCATGATACTTTCCCCATTCTATTCAATGGAAAAAAACAAAGTTGTGTCCTCTAAATGATTTATCAATTTGCTACTGTTCAAGAACTCTTTGAACACCTAGCACATTGTTCGGCACAAAGTATCTATCTGGTTAATATTTGCTGAATGAATAATTAGTACAAAATGTTTTAAAATAAGCTGCAAAATGCTTTTTCTCAATTCAGAATATTTATGGAGAACCAAAAAGAATGTAGTCATTTAACACACAAAAAAAAAACCACCTAGCACACTTGTTCTTCCTACAGTGGTGTTGATAAAACATCAGCAACTGACAGATAATAAAATGCACACAATTTAACAAAGTAAACCAAAGTACTACTCTGTACTAACATAATTCTGATATTCACAGTCAACTCTTCATTATTTGCATGAATAATAATGAACAATGATAATTACAAATCTTTTATATTCAGCTAATAGACTTCATATTTATACTTTTATTTGAGTCTGTGCGGATATGGTTCTCTCAAAAGTCACAACACTTACTGTATAATAATGAAATTATATTGCACAACAGTTAAATGACTTTCTAAACATATAATACTGCACATTACACATTAATAATCGCTGAATGAAACAGCACCCCAAAAGGAACTGGAAAGCTCCATAAGCCACCTGACCTTGAAATCTGCTCATCTTCAATTCTGTTCCCTTGCTACATTCCAAGCTGGAATTAGCATTCTCTCCCCCTCTTTTGCTCAAAGCAAAGGGGAGTACAAGATGGCAGGGGGAGAGGAGCAAACTTTTGTGTAAACAGTTCCTAGAGATAGAAATCAGCATGGAGTTGGCAAATACTCCTCAGTTACTGAGCTCAGGATGCTATGGGATACAGGTCTCAAAGTTCTATCATCTCAAAGCAAACTAGGTAACCAAAATTGATGGTACTAAAGGAAATGTTATGACAGACTAAGGGTTCCCCCTTAACTTTGATTCCTGGGTGGGAAAGGTAATGAATTGTTTTTTTTAAAGGCTTTTTGCTCCTGAGCAAGGTGGTAGGAGCAATGAAATCACTAGCTGTAGTGACCATTGCCCTGTCCTTCCACAATAAGAGTATAGTTTAGTTTACTTTTTTAAGAAAGCTAAGCACTTCTTTCCTCTCTTAAAAAAAATACTATTTGTCATATGGGATAGCTCTCTGGGAGGGTAAGGAAGAGTAATACATGGGATACCATGGTGACACAAAATAAAATATCAATAAAACCAAAACCAAAACCAAACTAAGAACATCTAAAACTCCTCCATCCATCACACTGCTCTTCTCCATCCATCAAAAGCCCTTTTGCATTGTCACCCATTCTCTCCTCCTTCCCTCATTCTGAATTCTGGTTATTACTTATATAACAACTTAGACAAGTTACTGGGTAAGTCAATTTACATTTCTGGGCCTGTTTATACATATGTAAAATGTAGGAATTAGACTACACGACTTCGAAGGTCCAAATCCAAAAACTAATGATTTCCAACTCATATAAGACTTCTCATTCTGGAAGTCTCACTAGTACCTCAAAATGAGTCTGTTAAAATTGAGTTTATTTTCCTTTTGAAACCTACTCCTAGTTATTACTTCACTATTTCTGTCAGGTGCACCAAAATTTATTGAGTCTCCTACATCTGCAAGTTGGTATAACTGATTTTTCTACATTCTTTACCTCTCATATCTAACCAGTTAGCACTTCATGTCTATTCTACCTACACATCACTTCTGGAAATCTGTCCCCTTCCTCTCTATTTCTCCTGCTACCATCCTAGTATAAGGATAGTAGTATATACTACTTGCCTAGACCAGAGCCTCCAACCAGGTCTTCTGGCCTTCATTCTTACCTTACTTTGTTGCAGCCCTCTCACCCAATCCTGTTATAATGACTACCAGACTAATCTATCATACACACAGTTCCGCTTAAACAACTCCACTTCTAAGAGTTTTTGAGTAGATTCTACTACTTTGGTTTCTACATTATGTCTCTCCCATATGATTATAATAGCCTCTTATTTGGTCTCCCTATCTCAGCACTCTCCCCACTCCAATTCATCTTTGTTCAGCTGCCAAAGTAATTTTTCTAAAGCATAGGTGACTGTATTACTCACCTGTTCTCTTCAAAAAACTCTAGTGGTTTTTCTATTACCTCCAGGATTAAACATAAAGTTCTACATATGGCATTTAAAGCCCTTTACAACTTGGCTTCTTATCCTTTCAGTCTGACATGTTACTCCTCTCCACACACTCTATAATCTAGCTACAGTGCTCTATTTGCATGTGCACATGACATTCCATTTCCCAACTGTCTGCCCTTGCAATGGCTCTCCCTTATGCTTGGAATGCTCTTCACATCTTTACCTTTTAGTTCTCTTGGCTTCCATTAAGACACAGCTCAAATCTCATCTTCTGCAGAAAACCTTTTCTAGTTTTGCCTTTGAGATTACCTTCCATACAATTCCTTATATATCTTATATACCCCTAGTTATTTATGTGTTTCCTCATCCATTTGAAAGTTAGTTCCTTGATAGTAAAAATTGTTTTTGCCTTTCTTTATATCCCTATAACTTAGTACAGTACCTGGCACATAGTAAGTATTGAATAAGAGCTTATTGATGAACTATTAAGTCATTAAATTAAAGGAGAAGGTGACAAAATAAATAGATGCTAAGATTACTTCTTAAATCATATTGCTGCATCACGATTGAATTTCCATTTAATGGAGAGTTGACTGTGATTCAATTTACTAATGAATTCTTGAAACCCCAAACTTAAGTTCATTAACACTTTCACATGCTCTAAATACATGCAATCTTATGTTCCTACTTCTATACCTACTTGCCTACCTGCTATTAACCTATTAGGCTCATGGACATGATGTAGCACTTCCAAGGTTCAAACCTTCTAAGCATAACAGCAAAAATGGAAAAGTTAAGAATGAAATTATCTGAGATTAAATGAATGGCTATGTAATGAGGTGACTTCAATGGCCTAAGAGTGTAAATTTAATCCCAATAAAGAAAACTTTAATAGCATTTACTTTTTTTGTTGTTGCCTTGCAATTTTATTGTAACCAATATGTCGCTATAAACATTTCTAGTATCCTGGGGCTAAGAATGGAACAAGAAAGCAAACAATTCTCTACACATAGTAGAAGGAAGAGGGAATAGTCATATATATGTCTTTTCCCCTCAGGGCATACGATTATAGGTTTCTAAACCTACAAGTCCCTAAGGAAAGGACCTTAGAGGTTATAGATCTTTAATCATTCTCTGTGTACTTCTGCTCTGATTTGGTATGTGGTGGGAGGCATTTGTCACAGAAATGGTTGATATGACTGAGATAAAGAGAAGTGATGGTACTTGAGGATAATTGTTTATTGGTGTAAAGTAGAACACTCTAACTGTAAAGAGCTCAGCTCTCCTTTGCATATTTTGCTACATCTATATATCCAGCTCTCGTTCTCTCTCTTCTCACATTAACAAGTGACAAAACAAAAGATACTCCCTTATAGAGTAAATATCATCTGGACAGAGACTAGTAAAAGTATTGGTTTACTGTACTGTATTGGGAAGATTCAATAAAGCACTGTTACTCTAGGCCAGATATTGAAATAGCTTTGCTATTTGGAATCTGCCACAATAATGGTATTTGCTGTAATGGATTTGCTGCTTCTTATAAATGTATGCAAAGTGTTATAAGCCCTTAGCCTGAAAAGATTTGGTGGGGCTTATATTATATTATAGAAGATAAGAATTTTAATAAAAATTTATATTACAAGTCAAAGCACCAAGCACTAAGCACATAAACACCGATATGTCTGTGTGGGCCAAGTGATCCTCAGCTACTGAGATTCTAGGCAAATTACTCCATTTTTAGTCAAGTTAGTGCTCACTAATTCATAGGGCTGTTTAAAGATCAAATGAAATAATGAATGTTTTTCATGAACATATAATGCTATATAGGTGTGTTATTTTTTTCCATTCATATATGTAGCCTCATCAATGTGGCATTTATAAAAGTGAAAAATGCTAGTAAAATATTGTGGGCTGGTGATAAGTTCCAAATATAATTTTTCAATTCAAAATTATTTGGAAGAGAGCTATAATTCATTATCACAAGGGCATATCGCTGGGATTATACTCTATGTTATATGTAATAAAGGCTTTCATTATAAATTAAGAGATCACTGGGAAAGAAAGAAGGAAATAAATGGTGGGATGAGGTGGGTTTAGAAAATCAGACTTGGTATGGATAGTCAAAAAAAATGAGTTTAGGAAAGGAAAAACATGATTTAGAAATTCAAGAGAAAGAAACAATCAAGAAAGGATGAGTGAGGAGTAGACAAAGTAGGAGTGATCAAGTAATGATGATAAAGCATCTTTTAAAGTTTCAGGATGAAGGAATAAAGGGGGGGAAAAGTCAGCATCTTGCCTATGAGTACCTCAAACTAGAGACAATTTTTAAGTTAAGAATGCACAAAAAGTACAATTATGGCCTCCATTAAACTGTTTTAACTTCAATAGTAAGAATTCTCAAAATACTTCAAAATGAGGGGAGGGGATTCATAAGGGTATACAGATTTCAATTTCGTGGCAAAATTCCCAAGCATGAACAATCTAATGGACTGAATAAGTGTCTAGTTTCTCAGAATGTTATATATAAATTTCAGAAATATTAACATACCTTTGTGATGAATGGTGTTATGAAAACAAAAAATACATCGTAGATGAGAAGGAGGACTAGAAGTATTACACATGCCTGTCAGAGAAAAAAAAAATTAGAGACTAAACTTCCCACATCCTAAGAAAGAGCTGATAGTATTTTGAGACAATCACACATCTGTATACTCATTAAAAACAAACAGGGGGCCATCTCCAGTCATCTTGATCTATATCTCGCCACTGGACCTAGAGGGCTCTGGAGGAGAAAGTGAGGCTGGTGACCTTGCACAGCCCTCCCTCTTCTCAAGTTATGTCATTAACTCCTTGATGTCATGGTCCTCTTTGAGAATGAAGGACAAACACAACCTGTGAGTAGTCCAAGCTGCCTGAATGGGGACCCAGCTGGCCAGTTCCAGGTGGGCAACTCAGCTCATCCTCTCCTTTCTTCTCCCTTCCCCCGTCCCCTTACCTGAGGGTGTTCTGCCCAAAGGAAGGTAATTTGATGGCCCATAGCTGCCTACTTAACTCGGGGTTTACTGGCTAGATTTTTCTCTCAAAAGCCAAGCCTTAAACATAATTCACTCAGGAGCTCATTGAGTGGACAACAATAGGTCCCTGCCCAAGCACCACTTAATGGCTATTTTTGGGCCCCCCTTGTTTAGAGTGAATGTAAACAGAGACTGCTTCTCTCTTGGTAAGCAACCCTGAGGGTCTTCTCCTCCCACTTTGATTTTTTTTTTGATTGATTTGATTAAAGTGGCCATCTCTAGGCTCACTCCTTAAAAAGGCCTATTCACTGAATGGGTGTTGCCTCACTCAAAGTGAGAACTTGAGGAGACTTTAGCTTAAAAAGATCAAGGTCTCCCACTGAGTCGGGCCATCTCCAGTTGTCCTAATCTATATCCGGCCACTGGACCCAAATGGCTCTGGAGGAGAAAGTGAGGCTGGTGACCTTGCACAGCCCTCCCTCGCTCAAATCAAAGCCAACTGCAAGTCATGTCATCATCTCCCTGATGTCATGGTCCTTTTCAAGAACAAAGGACAAACCACACAGCAACAAAAAACAAACCAACCAACCCTCACACAACTGCTATTTCTAATTTTGTCCTATAAAGCAAAAAGGATTTTTTTCTTTTCACCATTTTCATGTCTTTGAATATCACTGATCCAAAGCAAAGTCCTTTGTTAAATTTCTCCATTCTCTACAAGGCTATTAGGTATGTTATCATTCAAACAGGCAGCATGGTGTGATAGGAAGAGTAGTGGACTGGGGGTCAAAAGACCTAGATTCAAGGCTCAACTCCCTCAACTTACTAAGCTGGGTGGGCCTCAACGTCCACAAATGTGAAGGGGGGAAGATGTAAGTACTTTATATTACCTACTTCACAGGGTTGTTGTAAGGGTCAAGTAAGATCATACACAGAAAGTACTTTGTAACTGTAACACACTTTATAAATATGATTTATTCTTATTTTATTATTGCACATAATTAGGGTACTTTAGACAGGGCAACAATATACTCTACCTTAAAGTTGGGTAATTTCAATGTTTTAATTAGATTCAGACAGAAAGCCATTCCCAAAAGATCTTGTAAAATCCAGGCCCATCTGAAATCAGACATTAATTATCTTATTCAGTTATTTTAAAATGGATCCTCACAAAATAAAGAGGCCACAGTGAATAATATGTCTAACAAAATCAATACAATAAACATTAAGCACCTACTACTATAGATAAAATAGCTGGGAGAAAAAGATGAACTAAAAGCTAGACTGGTGCTCAGGAAATTCATAATTTAAGAGGATAAATAAGGCACATACACAAATCATTATAATACAAGGAGAAACTGGAGAAGAAGGTTCTCTTTCAAGGGGAAGGGAAGACAGACATGGGAAAGGCTTTATGAAGAACAGCATACTTGAGAATTAAATCTTGAGAGAATGGATGGAGCTCAGTATTCAGGAGATGGGTGAGGCAAGTACAGTCAAGGCATATTAATAAAGTCACAGAGATGGGAGAAGGAAAGAAGAGAAGAGGATGGTGTGTATTCTAATTTGACTGGGATGTAGAGATTGTGAAGGGAAGTAATGTGAGATAAGGCTGAAACAGGAGGTTGGAGCCTAATTGTAGAAACAGTTGTATGCTACTATAAAGGACTTTAATGGGAAGTCAGTGAAGGTTTTAGGGTTGAAAAGTAACATGATTTGAAAATTATTCTGGAAACAAGAGAGACTGGTGGCAGGAAGACTGTTCAAGACTATAACACAATTATGCCAAGCAAAGACGGTAATGAATTCCTGAACTAGAGTGATTACAAGTTAGATTTGAAAGGAACAAGTATGAGATTGTGGAAGTTGACTCAAAAGGACTTTACAAATGATTATATATAGATAATAAATGACTGGAACGGGTCAAGTATGACTCAAAGGTTTCTCAAAGTTGACTGGAAGGATGGTGGTACCATCAATAGAAACAGAATTTAAAGGAACGGGTAGGCTTTCTGTGGAAATGAATTCAATTTCACCATGTTAAACTTAAGGTACCAGCAAGACCATAGATAAAAAGGTATCTAGCAGGCAACTGGAAATGAACTCAGAAGAGTTAGAATACTGGAAAGTCATCTTCATGGAGCTGTTAAAGGAAGCCATGGGAATGTGTGAAACTGCCAAGAGAGAAAAGGGAAAATGGCCCAGAACTTAAATCCCTGTGATGTGACTACTGATGTAGCATGGTGTAGTAGTGTTGGACTTAGAATCTGCTTTAGACATTAGCTATATGACCCTGGGCAAATCACTTAAATACTCTGGGATTCAGTTATCTCATATATGAAAGAAGTGTGTTGGGTATGATCTCTAAGGTCCCTTCTAGCTCTAAATTTATGATTTTATGATTGTTTACTATTACTTTTGTTAAAAAAAAATAAGAAAACAATATTTCCTATATGTACTACAACAATGATATGCTAGAATATTGGTCATTATGATGAGAAAAAGATGCAATAATGCTAAATTTGTTTTTAAAATGTTGCAGAATAACTTTCCTAAACAATAAGCTAACATGAGCATTTTATTCTAAAATTATTTTAAAAAATTTCTATCAACCTTTAACAACATGTTAATAATTCATTAAATGATCTTTATCTTCTTTACTTTTAAGCCCGCATTTAACATGAAATCACAGTTTCCAATGTTTTTGTACATTTGAATCCAAATCAAGCAATTTGAGAACTGTTTACCTGACATGGTTTTTCCTGAAAATTAATTCTTTAAAGACCATGATATTCTAGGATAAAAGCCATAAATTCCTCAGTCAAGTAGATGATTAACTGAGTGAAATGTGTAACAATCTGTCTCTAATCTAAAACAGTAAAAATTGATCTCCTACCTGTCATCATTTCGAAATACAGCCCAAACAACAGCCAGGGATATGCAAAATGCTGCAAGAAAGAGAAGTCTCACTTCAAAGCTTTTGCTGCCACATACAATCCTAAAACAAACAAACAAATGAAAACAAATGGAGAGAATTTAGTTTGCCATGTAGCTGAAAACAGATTGGGGAGGAGGGGGAAGGAGGATCAGGTAGAGTTATAATAGAGCCAAAAGAAATATAAAAACAGCCATTCAGTACTAACGTTGCTGCAATAACCACTAGTTTCCCTTTTAAATAAAGTGACTAGTAATAAAATGTTTAACTGTGTGATATTTTGATATTCCTATTTTTTTTTTTTTTGCATATAGCTTAAATAGCTAATAGCAACATTCTATAGCTGCCCAGAAAAAAATTCATACCTGCATCGTCCACATGGTATTTTCCTAATCAGTGGTGCAAGGCAATTGTATAAACTCATTGAAGATGCCAAGCAGAAAATGGATATCATAACATAGACTAGAAAAAAGGAGAAATATTTAATGAAAACAGAGGAAAATGTCAGTAAAATGCTGTTACGTGGCAAAAAATTTCTGTACAAACACCACATTTCAATTGATTTGTTTTTAAGAGCTATTTTAAATAGATGCTCAGAGAACATTCAATTAGACTGACTAGACAGCAATGTGATGGTGTCTTCCACTGTATGCTTATTTAGGGTCTGCAGAAGGAATGGAAGAGTTACCTGCATGTCAGTAGTTGTTTGAAAATAACTCATTCTAAAATTTAAGCTAACAAAATCACGTGAGATCTAACGAAGCAAGTCCAACAATATTTGTTCTAAGAAGGGGAAAAAATGAATTCCTTTATATTGCTTGTTTGAGATACATAATAATGTGTACCTAATAATCTAAAAATATCAATAGATTACTTCTGTAGGTTTATATATATATATAGGTTATAGGATATAGTTTGATCCATTCTATGGTCATATCCATGTAATAAAGAACCTTTTTGACCCCCATGTACAAAAATATTTATAGCAGCTCTTTTTTGTGGCGGCAGAGAACTAGAAATTGAGGGGATGCCCATCAATTGGGGAATGGCTGAACAAGTTGTGGTATATGAATGTAATGTCATACTATTGTGCATAAGAAATTAGATTTCAGAAAAACCTGGACTTATATAAACTGATGCTGAGTGAAATAAGCAGAACCAGAACACTGTACACAGTAACAGAACACTGTGTGATGATCAACTATGATAGACTTAGCTCTTCTCAGCAATACAATGACCCAAGACAATTTCAAAAGACTCATGATGGAAAATGCTAACCACATTCAGAGAAACAACTATGGAGCCTGAATGCTGACTGAAGCATACTATTTTCACCTTTTTTTTCCTTTCTTGTGTTTTTTCCCTTTTGTTCTGATTTTTCTTTCACAACATGTTTAATGTGGAAATATGACTGTACATGTATAACCTACATCAGATTGCTTGCTGTCTTGGCAGGGGTAAGGGGAGGAAGAAAGGAAGAAAAATTTGGAACTCGAAATCTTATAAGCATGAATATTAAAAACTATCTTTACATGTAACTGGAAAAAAAATACTATTAAGTGGGGGGAAAAAAGAACCTCTTCCTAAGAGTTCTAATATAGTTATCAATGTTTAATACTTATGTATTTTTATTTAAAATTATTAATAAAAGTTTTACTATAAAAATTACTAAGCTTAAAAGATTAAATTTTCTTTTTTCATCTCTCAATAATTCAAAATCATAACTAATTTTACAGCATAGACATTTTGAAGTTTCAGTGAAACTGTGAGGCCACTTTGTTGTTCAAGAGAGGAGGACAAGCAAAAAGTCTAGAGCCAGTGAAATGAAAAAAGATTGGTGGCTACCCCTGTAGGGTGATTAACCAGCAAATATTAAGTGCTTATTGTGTGCAATACATTATACTAGGCACTGAGAATAAATCTAAGACGTGGATGAGATGTATACAAATAACTATAATACAGGGCACATGAGAGGTTAGATTTATGAGAAATTTGAGGAAGGAGGAGTAACTTTTAGCTCAAGGTAGGTGGAGGGATCAAAGGCTTGATTGAGGAAATGGTACCTTGCCTGAGACTTTAAAGAGAAGAATTTAAACAGAGAGGTAGAGAGGCTATTTTCCAGGGCAGTGCGTATGTCTGAGGCAGAGGAGTGGACTGGGAAAGGGAGAGGTAATGAACTCAGATGGAAAAAAATGAAATCAAGAAACATCCAGTAGGGGGCAGCTAGGTGGTGCAGTGGATAGAGTTCTGGCCTTGGAGTCGGGAGGACCTGAGTTCAAATGTGACCTCAGACACTTACTTGACAATTACTAGCTGTGTGACCCTGGGCAAGTCACTTAACCCTGACTGCCTCACCAAAAAGCTAAAAAACAAAACAAAAAAACCCCAAACAGCCAGTAGATTAGTATGTCTTGGATACAGAATATCTGAATAGGAGTAATGTTAAATAAGGAGAAAGGTAGATTGAAATCATATTATAGAGAGCTATGAATGCCAGGCCAACGAGTTTGTATTTTATCTTAATAGGCAATGATAAGCCACTGGAAATAGAGAGTAAGGCGATCAGATCTATTTCAGTTACTCTGGCAGCTATGTAAAGAATGGCTTAGGAAGAGAAAAAAGAGGCAGGGAGACAAGTATGGTAATTTATGTGAGAGATGAGGGCTAGAACTGTAGCAGTAGCCCAGGGAAAAAAAAGGAATGGATCAACATAGTGAATACATTAAAAATGCTATTAAAAAAAGCTAAAGTACAGTTGTCATAGGTTGAGAGATTTTTTTTAGAAATGTGTTCCAAAGGACAGATGAAATTAACCAGCTGAATCAAATTGTGAGGCCTGAGATTCCCCACCTCTGCTTTATGCTAATATTTTCTGAACAGTGGCTTGGCAAAAGGTTTTTGGGTGATCTTCATGAATGTTCCTCTTTCCCCATTTCCCTCTTCTTGCTACTGTACACTCTGGCCATTGTTGGAGCACTACAAAAGCAGGACTGGAGAGTTTCCAAGAGGCCATGCTGGAAAAAGAATCACACTAGCCTTCATTTAAGCCCTCAGAGTACAAAAAAGTTCAGGCTACCCCACAGGATTAAAAAGTAAATTAGCTAAATTAGTCATCCAAGTTTTCATAATAAAAATACCTCAATTTAAAGAAAAGAAGGAAGTTCATGGAAGTGTTAGGGAAATACATACCAAAAGTAAAAAAATACATATATAATAAAGCTAATTTCTTACCTAGCCACTTGTAGAAGAAATAAAGTAAGATCATTATAACACAACAGCCAACCACAAATATTATAACTGTAAGTGGAGTAAAAGTTAAAGAGTCTTCCTTCTTTCTTGTTTCTCTTTCTTCTGTGTTTGTCACTGCCTTCATGTCCTCCCTGCACAAATACATACAAGAGCCTCAGTCAACCTCATTCTGTCAAACATTCATACAAATATGTGAAGGTTCTATGACTTCCTCAGCACAGGGAATTCCTAATGTAAGAATACTTTCACCAACAGAGATCACATCCAGCTGAGCAGATAGTAGACTCTGGAACATAAATATCATCTCCTTTATAATTTTGCCCAGAACAATCCCTGGAGACATCAGTTGCAGTGGGGTGGAATATGAAGGGATAAGGGAACAAAGAGGAACAGGACTGTAGAAAGCCCTGGCAACAAACTTGATGGAAAAATAGATTTATCAACACATGAGTTTATATGGAATAAAAATAAAAATTGACTAAAGGTTCAGATAAATTCTTAAATAGCCATTTTATCATTAGTTATAAAGAGGAATTTAGGGATAACATTCCAAGGACATCATAAAAGGAAATTAACCCACTGTCTCCAAACACATCCCTAATGTCACTGTTGGAAATACAATATTGGATGAACTACTGTTCTGACTCATTGTCATTTTTTAAAATATCATTTATGGCAAACTTTTGTATCTGAAAAAGTTGACAATATTTATGACACAAAACTTAAGTCTATGACATTCTCCTTCTTGCTGCATAAGGTTGTTAGGTTTAAAATATGTTTTAACTTGAAATATATTAAAATCTAATTATTATGAATCAATGCAGTAACATAAAAACTATTGCCTTTCCTGTAGAACACTTCATTTCCCCCCCCATTAATGTTCTCCTTTCAGAGTTATTTCAATAACAATATATAAAATTTCCTCTCTTTAGTATCCTCTTAGGATTCTAAATTCCCTAATAAAAGGCAAGAATTGTTTCTATTACATTCTTTGTAGGGCTTCTAAATTTCTATTTCCGTTCCCAAACTAGAGGCTGAATGAATATTGCTAATCTGATTTAGTCCAAAATAAGTTTAATACTTAGTAATGATGATTACTATGCCAAAAGATTAAAAACTTTAAAAAAAAGATGGAGTTACAGTATATTTTATAATGGCTATGTGTTAAAACTTCAATTACAGATGTGTCATGTCAGTGTCTGCAGTCAGCAAAGTCCAACAGATTTAACCATCCTTTCTACCACTCTTGATCCATAATTATAAGTAAGGCTGTGGGAAAACAAAGCCCACCTTCTCATTAAGAATTAGATTTTTCAAAATATGAGCTCTGCTAACCCTATGACTTATTTGTGGGTATGACCCAGCTAATTAGCCAGTTAACTTCATATTTAAGACTCAAAATTAAAGTCTTCATTTTTGTTCCTCTTTCTTTACTGCCTTCATGTCCTTTCCTGCACAAAAAGACACACCTCATTTTCTTGCGCTCACTTTATTGTGTTTTGCAGATAGTGGTTTTTTCAAAATTTGTGACAACCCTGTGTCAAATGGGTCTATTGGTGCCATTTTCCCAATAACATGCTCACATCATGTCTTTGTGCCACGTTTTGGTAATTCTCCCAATATTACAAACTTTTAAATTATTATTATATCTGTTACTGTTGTAATTGTTTTGGGATACCACAAACTATGCCCATATAAGATGGCGAACTTAATAAATGTTGTGTGAGTCTTCTGACTGCTCTCCTCTGGCCTCCCTATTCCCTGAGATACAACAATATTGAAGAATATTACACAGACTTAGTTGATAAAGTAGTGGCAGGGTTCGAGAGGATTGACTCCAATTTTGAAAGAAGTTTACTAAAATGCTATCAAACACCATTACATGCTACAGAGAAATCTTTTGTGAAAGGAAGAATCAATTGACAAGGTAAACTTCATTGATATCTTAAAGAAATTGCCATGGCCACCCTAACCTTTAGCCACCACCAACCACCCTGATCAGTCAGCAGCTATCAACATTGAGGCAAGACCTCCACCAGCAAAAAGATTACTACTTGCGGAGGCTCAGATAATGGTTACCATTTTTTTTAAGCAATAAAGTGTTTTTTAATTAAGGTACATACATTGTCTTTTTTAAAGACATAATACTATTGTGCACTTAATAGTGTACAACTACTACAGTACAGCATAAACATAACTTTTATATGTACTAAGAAACCAAAAAATTTGTGTTTTATTGTGAAATTTGCTTTATTGTAGTGGTCTGGAACCAAACCCATACTATCTCCGCGGTATGCCTGTATACAAGAACCTCAGTCAATTTTTTTTTTGGGGGGCCAAACACTGACAGAAACTTGAAGGGTCTATGATGATTCTTGGTATAGGGACTCCCTTGTTCTTATCTAATAATAAGAAAACACAGAACTGCAGGTACAGAAATTAGATCTAGTTGAAAAAAGTCTAGACCTCAAAAGACAATTCTGAAAGCAATATATACCATTTCTCCTACTTTCTTAATAAATGAAATGCATTTTGAAACTTAGTAAAATAAACTGGAGCTGCAGTGTGACTCTGAACTCGGGAGTCAGAAAGACTGGTTCAAATCCCACCTCTGACATTTACTAGCCTATGACCATGAGCAAATCACTTAACATCTCTGAGCCTATAGTAACTCCTCTAAGAATATAAGTTAGAGATGAGTGGTAATCTGTGTCCCATATAAAACATTCCAACACAGAAAAAAATTAAAATTCTTTAATGTATTGATGTAAATTAATTTATAATCAAATTTTTTTTTGCAAAAAATTAATCTCATATAGGCAGATATTTATAAATCTAAATTTCTGTCACTAACCATATCAACAAAGAGAATTTTTAAAAGCATGTCAGAATAGAATATATTACAACTGATCAATTGGAACATCACCAACCAGAATCTTCAATTAAGTTTTGTGTGTTTATTTTGGGGGATGGCGGAAAGGAATTAGATTTCATAGCAAACCGCTGAAACACAGCAACACACATTCATATTAAGACTTTAAAATAACATCAACAAGCTACATCTACTTTTGGGGACATCCTGGAAATAGTATGCATTCAGTTCAGGCTCCTCCACATTCTGGCCCTAAGCACAGTGTGAGTTGATGTTCAGAATCAAGACCGTCATGCAACACACTATCCTGAATGATTAAAAAAAATTAGTGACATCTAGTGTCTCCCTCACTATCATGGAGAAAGCCTAGACTAACTGTTACCTTTATCTGATACCGATTTTATAATGACTTCTACTATCTGTTCAAATGTGGCTCCTGCTGTATAAGATCTCAGCATTTCACTAGGTGAGAAAGCAAACTTGAGATTTGCTCATGATCTCTTTCAAGCTATTTTGGGAACTGTACAAAAAAGCTGTCACAAGAAGTGAACTTAGGAAAAAAAACACATTTTATTCATCTTTCAGTTCTTCCAAAGTTGAAAATATCAAGTCCTACTTCTAAGGAGAAAAAAACAAAACAAAAAGTCTCTCTCTCTCTCTCTCTCTCTCTGCCTTTCCTAAAGTTACAGGACACACAATGTTTTTTTCTGGGATGGGTAAGTGCAGAGGACTAGGAGGGAAGATGGCCAGCAAAAACCCTTCCCAAATACTTAAAAGCAAAAAACAAAAAAACCTGTTCAACAGTAACAGTGATAAATACAGGACAATGCAAGACAAGTGAAAATGAACAGTGGGGGAAAAAATCACTAAATTATGCTGATGATACTAAGGGAAGACAACATACAAAAATTTTAAAAAATATTTTTTACATAAATCAACTGTTTACATTGCTAGAAGGGATACAAGTTGAACGAATAAAAATGCTTTTAAAGTCTCACCCTAAAAAGCAAGCCGCAGTCTTGGCCCACTAATGGGAAAAAGTGAGAGAAGCTCAGTCTAAGAGGATGAACCTCAAGAAGGGAAGAGAAACACCTGCGGGCAACTATCACTTCTGTAGGAAAGACTGTAGGAAAAACTTCAAGAAAACAGTCTCATTAAGTAATGAGTTTGCAAATGAAAGGGTCTATATACTTTCAGTCACCTTTAGAGAAGGTCCAGTTGGCACTACTTTGCAATGCATTCTTTAAAAAGCAGCTAAAAATAAAGGAAGATTAAGGGTACTTTTGTTTTGTTTTGAAAAGACCTGTAATTTCATCATGTGTAGAGTCCCTGGTGAGGAAACTCCTTCTGCCAGTGGAGATCAGCAACAGTTCTGTGAATTACAGCCTTAGAGCATTGCCTAGAGCACCAAGAAGTTAAGTGACTTGCTCAGGATCATGTAGCTATTATGTGTCAAAGGTGAGACTTGAGCTTGGATTTTTTCTGATTCTCAGCTATTATTACCGTTACTAATGTCACATTTATACTGGACTTTCAATTTACAAAAGGTGACCTTTTAAGACAGGTGAATAATTATGTGAGAAATGTATGTAACTTAGCTCTTTAGGGGGACAATTATTAAATATGAGCTAGGTAGGGTAAGAGGGAACTCCTAGAGTTCATACCATGTATTAAGAAGTACTACAAAGAGTTTATCTTTCTCCCTCCTAATTACAGAGTTGCACCAAATGGCAGAAAATGAAGAGAGTTTTCAGATGTTTGAAAATGGTTAAATGTTAGCTTTACTAACTCCTGGTATTATTATTCACTGCAAAGAAAAAAATTTTAAAAGTCATTTTTAAAAAACAATGAACACTTGCAAAAAATTAAATTTACAGTACTGTCTAGATACAAATGCCTTCAATAAGGTTTTAGGTATTTATTTTTCAGCATTTTAAGTAAAGACCACTAGGCAGTTTTATAGAGAGGAAGAAAATATTTTTCTACAATGTTTGCCTCCATACTACATTTTAAACTGCAATTTACCTTTAAGTTAAAAACAAAACTAAAACCAAAACTTGTCTTAAATCAGCTTTACATACAGTCAACCTGCCCAAAGAGATCAAGCATAATTTCTTCCACATCAACTAGTGATCTGTTTATAGTGGTATTTCAACTCTCCGTCCTGAAGAAGTCTCCATGTGCAAACTGGGACCTTTTGCTTTCATTTCCTAAAGTAACTAAACATCTTCCATTTGACAGAACAATCTGATTTTGAGCTGGCTCTTCACAAATTTTTGCAACTCACTAGACCCCAGTCCTTTTTCTCTTCCTCTCTTCATTTACTTGCTAAGTCACAATCTTTATATGGTTTATATTTCTATTTTCTAGGAAAATCTTATACCTGGTCAACCAATCAATCAATAAGCATTTATTAAGTATCTACAATGTGCCAGGCAGTGGGCATAAAAAGACAAAATGAAAGTTTCTTTTCATAAGGAATTTATATATTTTATTGGGAGAGACCACATATATGCATATAAGTATATACAAAAACATTTTAAAGGTAATTTTGGGGTGGATGTATTAGTTCTTGGGTTGGAGGAATCAGGAAAGGGCTCGTGTACAGAAGGCTCATGTACGTGGCATTTGAACTGAACTTCAAAGGAAATCAGGTATTCAAAGAGCTTGCGAAAATGAATTACACTCCAAAAATGGGGGACAGGCTTTATAAAAGCACACAATTATTTCAAACACTTTCAAAATAGTCTAGAAAAAGGATGGTTGAAATGAAAGGTTTTCTCCATAAACAAAATAAGACAGTTGATTATTGTGGAATCTATAAAATCTGAAACTGGATGAATGATATTTTAAAGTCAAGACAATAAATGAAAATGCCAGAGCAACATTCCCAAATGTTATGTTATATGAATATTATATGTTACATGTTATATTAATAAATATTTTGTCCTTAAATACATAAAATTTCTAATTCTTTCATTTTTTTTGTAAAGATAAGAAGGGAAAACCACTCATATGTACATGAGATGTGATTAAAAACAGCCATCTTATCACTCTTTCCAAATCAATATTTAAGTTCATTTTTCTAGTACCTTTCTTTTGCTCTCAAGATTTTCCTTTTAATCTGAGTCAATTTTTAGTACTCATGGATACAAAAAAGGCATCTTAAATGATGACAGAGACGATGTATATTCACCTAGTTAAATGCAAATGAATCTTAAACACATGACAGAACTACAATCCATCTTTAGATATTGACTAGTTATATGACCATGAGTACATCAGCCTAAGCTTCCTAATTCATAAAATAGAGATAATAACTGTAGTATGTATACCTCACAGGGTCGTTATGATGCTCAAATAAGATGATGTATGTAAAGTTCTCTACAAAACTTAAAAGGGTCATATCACACTCTTCTTGTTTTTTTTGACAGAGATCAGATAGAAAAGGTCTGGGTACAAGTCATCCTGTTATTCTTTTATATTTAATGTTCTATGGATTACTGCACAGGTAGATAAAATAACTTTTTTGGGAGGTGTGTAATTGAATAAAAATAATGGGCTGCAAGGTCACCTTCTGTGGGGTCACTGAAAACATCTTTGAGACAACTTGAGAAGCAGACAGGGTGATATAGATGATATGTACTTCATCCTATTTTGATTTCTTCTGCTGGGTGTCTACATTTTAAAAGCTTTTCATTTCAAGTGTCTTGGATATTATGAGTGCTTGATATGGCAACATCTAATAAAAAACTGTTTTTAAATTTTTATGGGAAAATATTATGTCCAGGAGATGACGGGCAAGAGTTTTGCTGGTGATGGTGCTGTGGTTTCAGTATTATTATCATTAATATTATTTTTTTCTGGTTTGAATAGTTTTCCTATTAGTAGTAATAAATCCAGATTCCTCCTTTAATATTGTGTTTTCTGTCAGGGTATATGTTGACATATAATTTAGAAGCAGTTAATGCAGAAAATTTGTTTTGCTTGATCATGCATATTTGCAAGAAGTGCTTTTTTCCTTCTCAATGGGAGGGGCAGGAGGTAGGAGGAAGAAAAAACAAGTATTTTTTTAACTGAAAAAAAATAAAATGAAAAAAATTCTATTTTTCAATTTCTCTTAAGTCAAAGAGACAAATTTATAACATGGCTGACCTGAATTCGGGTACAACACATGGAACAGAGAAAAATAACTAGCCTTTTCAGAAATCATCCATGACTATGACTTCAGTACCAAACAAGCTTTTAGGCCAATATATCACAAAGGATGGCAGTTTTAAACTAAAGAATCAAGGAGAATAAGTTTGTTGTTTGATTACTTCACTGGTTTTCCCCTTATTTATTTTCTAATGTTTGAAGTTTTAAAATAATAACTTACAAATTAAGGGCTAATTTATTTTGATAAGGGACATATATTCAAATACTAATTCTCCATCATGATGCAGCAGGTAAGCAATGGTGCAAACACTAAGAATTATTTGGTTTTGGAATTACATTTCCTACATTTCAAAATTCATGACCCTAAAAAAAATGGAGACAATTATAAATACCTAAATCAGGAAAAAACAAAAGCTGCTCAGTTTTCCCATTCTCAACTCCTTTCTGCTTTCCATTCATTGCTAAGCATCAAAGTCCCAGTAATAAGCAGAGTAGTTAAATCTATTCACAACTTTCTAGGAGGAAGTAAATTAACTAGTTTAGCTCTTTTTAATCCTTTATTATGACTACATTGAATTAGGAGAGAGAGAAGTACGTTATAACTTTTGAAATCTAACCAGGACTTAAATCAATGGAAGGTAAGATTAAAAAAGAGGAACAGTTATTTTAGAGACAGTTTTCTTGTATTATTTCTTGCATTATATTGAGGTTTTTTTTGCTATGTTATGTTCTTTTGAAAGAACTATGATATTTAAGTTACCTCTGCACATCCTTCCTTGAGATCAAGCTTTTGCTTGTGTAGAAATCATGTGTTCTTTTAACACTGTTAGCAGTTTTTCTTTTCTACCAGACTTTTCTCTATGGCAGTACTTTTGTATGCCAAACCTGTTATTTTCTCTTTCGCTTCTTTGGAAAAGTGTGACACTGTGGTTTTAAGTTTTTCTAATCCGGTAATTATTTGTTGGTCACATGACCCAGAAGTTTTCTACAGTCACTGTTGTCAATTTTCATTAATATTTGAGATTCCTCCTTAATTAAAATCCAAATCTATAAAGAAATATGTAACAAAATTAATTAAAATCTAATTGCATTATGCCCCCTCCATTTTTTTTAGCACCTCATCTGTCAAAGAGACATGCCAATTTTGAGCAAGAATAAAAATAAATGTGTGTAAGGTATTCTAGTATGTTTGAGAGAAACAGAAGGGAGAAAGTGTTTTGCAAAGTGACTAAAAAGTAGTGCTTACATTTAGAATTGCTTTTCTTTTCCAGATTCAGTCCTGGAACTTATGCATCTTTTAGATAAGGGAAGAAGGACCACTTCTGATTCCCTTTAATCTCATTTTTTCTGTGGCTTTCTGCTTGCTGGACAACAGTAGTCCAACGCAGGTATAAAATGGCAGGGAAATAAAGTTGGTTGGTTAGAAAAAATGGAGTGTTGGTTTACTGCTCTTCTTCCATTACTGCCAAAGAGAAACATTTAGGTGCTATCTCTTCATTCAAGCGCTCTCTGCTTTGGTCAAAACAAAACAAACTTGGACAAAAGTGTTCCTTAAAGGAAGAGAGCAGCTAGGTGGCACAGTGGATAGAGTGCTGGGCCTGAAGTCATGAAGACTAATCTTACTGAGTTCAAATCTGACCTCAGACACTTACTACCTGTGTGACCCTGGCAAGTCACTTAACCATGTTTGCCTCAGTTTCCTCATTTGTAAAATGAGCTGGAGAAGGAAATGGCAAAACACTCCAGTTTCTTTCCCAAGAAAACCCCAAATGAGGTAATACAGAATCAGACATGACTGAAACAACTGAACAACAAAAAAAGGCAGAGCTGAATATGATCCAAAGGAACTCATTGTCAAGTGTCACTTGCCTAGTTTTACTTAGTTTCAGAATTGCTAAGTGACTGATTTTTTTAAAACCCTTAGACTTGGTTACTCTTTCAAAGTAATAAATAAAATTTAAAGAGGGGATCAAGAAGAGAAGAAAGAAAAGTTTATGAAAGGAAACATTTTTATGTTCTTCTCAAAATGGGTAGGGAATATGTAAGGACAGAGTCTTGACTACGTGTACTCCACTAGAATTATAACAGAAGAAAAAAGTTAATTGAAGAAATAATGTTGTGTTGGCCTTTTTCTTTTTTTTGTTAAAGATGACAATACTAGCCCAATGGTAGCAGGAAATATATTTTCATTTATTTTTAGTATTAGTTTGTACATCCTGGTTCTCCTTAGGAAAAGCCATACACAACAGTATGGCCATATGCCAGGTATCTATGAATTAACCAGTCTGTAAGGGTCATCAAAGCTACAAGCTGGCTGGATTCTTATAATTTAGCCACTTCTCAGATTCCTAAAATATAGCCACTGCTTACATTCTTAAAATCTAGCCACTGTACAGATTTTCACAATCTAGCCAATAGCCCACAGATGCTCAGATTCCTTAAGAGTCTAGCTAATATGGTGAATCTTCAATAAACCTTGTCTTTGGCTGAAAAAAAAAAAGAAAAGCTACAATCTTCATTCATTCTTCTCCATACTCCTCTCCTGACTCTTTGGACTTCTTTATCTACTATTCCCCAACAGCCTTCTCACCCTGGAAGATCCCTCTGCCCTTGCAGTTACTTCTTTTAAGTTCCTCCCAGAATTTCCATTTTAAAGAAGTGTCCAAATCAGCCAGGTTCACTCCTCTCCAGACTTCTTTCTCTACAATGTCCCAAAATAGGTACCTTCCTCCACACTCCTTTTTTCAGCTTCTTATTATGTACTGTCTTCCCCCATTAGAATGTAAGCTCCTCAATGGCAGGGACTGTATGTTTAACTTTTATTTATATTCCCAGGGCTTAGCACAGTGCTTATTAGCACATAGTAAGAGCTTAGTAAATGCTTGCTGGTTTGACTCACAACTTTGGTCTAAACTACATCATGCTCTAACTAAGCGAATTAGCTCAGCCTATCTTTAAAAATTAGTTTGTCAAAAAAACCCAAAACCCAACATTTCTTTTCTGCCACTTATTAAAATATATTAAAATTGAATACAACTTACAATTCACTGACACCACTCCAGTAACCTCCTAAGGCCACACTTGACACAGCAATTATAAAGATGACCACCATAGTATAGTCAAATTTAGGCCGTGGTGGTGAATACAATTTCACAGAAATGTTATTTCCAAGAGTCTGAAAGAAAAAAGCCAATTTTAAACATGATTATGAACACTTTCTGAGACACAAAGTTAATACAGAAGTATGCAAACAACACCACTTTATACTTCAGTCTGGAATAGACTCTGCGACTAATACCAGACTCAGGCAATTGGAATACCTGACCTAGGCTACTGGTAGGCAAGATAAATTCTTACGAGAGATGCCATGCATGTTTTCCTTAGCTAACACTGATTGAGGGAGGGATCAACATTGGTATCAAGGGGAAGTGTCAACACTGGTTGACATAAACTTGAAAGTGAATATTCTGATGACCACAATAAAATGATTTTTAAAGATACTTAAAGACTAGAGATTGCTGATAAATATAATGACCAATTATGACTTCAGAACCTATTTTTTTGTAAAGTATACTTCCTGTCTTTAGGTAGAGAGGTAGCATACCATGGACGAGAAATAAGGAATGCATTTTCAGACACAGTAAATTTGTTGTTTTTTTTGTTTAATGTACTAATTTGTTACAATGGAGGGAATGGGATAGTGGTGAGGGGAGTTATTGGAAAGTAACAGTGATGTTAAAAAATAATATCAATAAAGTATTTTTTAAAAGTTCACAATATATAATACCACATATCATTCAGTCACTTAAAGTGAGCATAATTTACACAAAACAGGAGGATATCAAGTAGAGTCAAAACCAACAACTATGGTCACGACCAAGTTAGCAATTCCATGCTGATAGGTTCTAACAGAACCCTCATTCACATCATAGAATATGCAGGGTTACTCTGAAAACAATCTGGAAGGTTCTTCATAAATTCAGATTTTTCAGGATGATCTCAAACCAGCATTTCATAGGAACATAGAGGCTTTATCCTGATTCTCACCATTTCACTGAAAACCCCAAAAGTATGGGGATAAAATAGGGAGCTCTTTATTTGAAGTCAAATCAATAAGCATTTATTAAGCACCTTCCATGTGTCTGGGTGCTGTGCTAAGCACTGAGGGATAGAAAGTCAAAAACAGTCCTTCCCCTCAAGGAGCTCACAATCTAACGGGGAGAGACAACATGCAAATAACTATGTGCAAACAAGATATATATAGGATAAACTGGAGATACTCTCAGATGGAAAGCACCAATACTAAGGTGTTTAAGAGAATTCCAGCTAGCGCAGTTCCCCTCAAAGCAGTTTTTTTCTGCTCCCATGTCAATGAGCAGATGAACAAGAGTCAGTAATGTATAATATAAACAAAAGTATAATGGCTTCTCTAAAAGTCCATTCCCTGTACTGTCTCACTCCCGTTACATGTTCTACTTTTATATTCCTACTCCATCGAATGCAGTCTCTCATCATCAGTTTCTTCATCAAGTCTCTGTACCTAGGAGCTGATCTCTAATTTAGATAACATCATGTCATGGGTCCCATCCTCCCAAAGCCCAAACTATCCATATGACAGAGTAAACCCTACAGCCTTCTTGAGTCAGATGCTGACAAACTATTGGGTATTTCTTGACGTTGCCAGCGTTGTCTATCTATTTGCAAAGGGTAGGGTAACATCTATGATAGTGGTAGTATAGGTTTTATTGTCCAAAATAACTAGATCTGGTCTTAAGGCTTTTCCAAATCTTGGAACTGTCAAAGTTACCTGCACCTGGGGTGTTTGCAGCCTATTTAACATAGCATTGTGCTACTGAGTAATAGCTTCACTCAGCTGAGATCTGCAATGGCAGAAGACATGTGGAAGTTTTTCATTTGATGCCCTACACTAACCTCCAGAGCCAAATCTCCTGGCCCCCATTTAATGGGACACAATCCAGTCTGGCTCTGTACATAAAATGCCAATCTGTGAACCAGGTGAAGGATCCCTCCCTCATAAGTTTGAAGCTGAAATCAGAGAGGTAATGAAATATACTTTACCCTGTTCAGGCTTGCAGAGTAGCTGTTGTTTAAAATCATGTTTCAGTGCTTGATTTAAATTCCTTTCCACTCCTTCTGAGGCCAAGGGACTGCCATTTAGCCATAAAGACAAGACACTGTTATTTGTTCTTCATTCAGCTGGAATTTTTACAGGCAATCGCTGGGAGGCTACCCACAGCTGGGGCTAGATGTTGGATGCTGCTGTGTCCTTGTTTCCAAACTTCTCCAGAGCCATTTAAACAAATGGCAATATTTTCTGGCTGAAGGCAGTACTTAATTCTATTCCTTACTGTACCGCTGAGGGAATAGTGGGAGAGCCGACCCATATCAACTGACCTCACCCCATGAGCCATCTGTCCAATATCTGCTGCTACACCTAAAGGTACCCCTTCCCATTTTATAGGGGAATTACAGGGCTTCAATACTGGGTCTTTGGGTGTGGTACGGTTATCTCTTGTTATCTTTTTAAATTGTCCTAGTGAAGAGATTGAAGGCACTCTTGGAGCTCACACTGTTTTAAAGACAGAATGAGACACAGGGTAAGATTAAAGTATTTACTACATCTATTTTCTGCTAGGGAGCCCATTTCAACTTATCCACAAGGTCTAACTCTGGTCGTGTTAGTTATTATGTGCCTGGAAGAGTCTGCAGAATCCACAGTGATTCTGAAGTAAGGGTAGTCATTTTCTTTGAACATCACTGAAATCTCCTGACTGCACTTGGAACTGGGTGGAGAGTACCTCCTTTTCCCAGCCATCAATTAACGAGGACACACATTTGGTTCCATTAAATGTAGTCCTGCCCAAGTGGCCACCTTATTCACGTTGTCCAGCATTTTGCTCAGAGAGCATGGGGTATCAGCTACTATGGTTAAGTCATCAGCATACAGCAGGACATTAAATTTCCTGTACTACAATTAGCTGTCTTCATCAGCAAATGGATTATTAGTTCTAGGGATAGATTCAAAAGTATGAGGCTAAGAGGACAACCCTACCTTACCCCTGCCTGGATGTCAATGCTCAGTGTAAAGTTATCTGTAGTGTGGACATAAGTCCTACTACTTGAGTAGTCTTTGTAAAACACCAATCACCTCATTGTACAAACCGGCCCATCTTAGCTCTAGCTAGATTGCATTATGTGGCACTGAGTCAAAAGTTTTAGTCACATTGATGCAGGTCACCCCACACAATTTCTTTTTGTTTAGCTTCATCCAAGTTGGATAACAATCAGAAATTATGCTCCTTACAGTCATCAACAAGTAGGATACCCTTTTGACCCCTGATACTACATTCATTCCCTGTACTCCAATCACTAAGTCTTTTTGACAGAATGGAGGCACAGATCTTACCCAAGGTATTACCCAGGCATATGGGTCTCCAGTTGGAGGGCAGATTCCTTTTACCTTTCTTAAGGATTAAAACAGTAGTGAATAATTGCCACTCCTTTGAGTCATAATTATATTTGTGTGATATATTAAAAATAGTGGCTAAAATATGTCTCTCTCTCTCTCTTCCGGGAGCCACGATGGTGGAGTAAGAAGTAAATCGTTCTTACCCTCCCTTATTGACCTCTGAAAGCCCAGAAAATATCCAGGAAAAACCCTGGAACAGCTGAGCCAGCAGAAAGATGGGGTGCAGCAGTCTTGTAGCCCAGAAAGCTAGGGGAATTAACAGGAAAGGTCCCTTTTGCTCTGGGGAAGGAGGAGCAGTACAAAAAAGGAAGTGTCCCAGCAAACCAGTAGCAAGCCCCACTTCAGCAAACCAGGGGGAGATCATGAACCCCAGGATGGTAGAGCAGGCAAGCACCAACACCAGGACCCCCCTGAGTACCTTAGCACAGGCAGGGTAACTGGTAAACACCAGCTCAGAAAACCACCACGTGTGCTAGCATTCTCAAGCATCAAAATCTCCTGGTACTTCAGCACAACTCCAGGCTAGCAGATATCCTCCAGCAGCCAAACAGTCAAGTGCTTTAAAGAACCCTGGGTGAGCAGGTGTCCTCCAGGAGCCTGACCACCCCCCCCCAATCCTCACCCTAAGTGCTCCAGTGCTGCTGACCCCAGTTCAGCACCAGGTAAACTGCCAGACCCCTATAGCCTCCAGCAGCCAGCACTTAAGGCCCTAGCACACAAAGCCAATGACCAGGTCCTGGGCTCCCAGCACAGGAAGCTTGGGTCAGTGCCCTCTCTGCTCCAGCAGGATAGCCCAACTTTAAATAGGAAATAAGCAACAACATGAGCAGAAAGCAGAAATGGACAAATGACCATAGATTCTCATTATGGGAACAGGGAAGATCAAGGCACAAATTCAGAAGAAGACAACACTGTCAATATACCCACAGGTGAAACCTCAAAGGGGAATATGAACTGGTCTCAAGCCCAAAAAGCCTTCTTGGAAGAACTCAAGTAGGATTTTAAAAGTCAAATAAGAGAGGCAGAAGAACAATTGGGAAAGGAAATGAGAGGCAGGCAAGAGAGAGTCAATAGCTTGGAAAAGGAAGGAAAAAATTGACTATAGAAAAAAAGTTCTTAAAAAATACAATTGGCCAAATGGAAAAAAACGTATACTAATGAAATCAACTCCTTAAAAAGTAGAACTGGCCAAATGGAAAAGGAGGCACAAAAACTCACTGAACAGAAGTTCTTAAAAAATAAAATGAGGGGCAGCTAAGTGGCACAGTGGATAGAGCACTGGCCCTGAAGTCAGGAGAACTTGAGTTCAAATCTGGCCTCAGACCAGACACTTGACACTTACTAGCTGTGTGATCCTGGGCAAGTCACTTAACCCCAATTGCCTAAAAGCAAAATAAATAAATAAATAAAATGGACCAAATGGAAAAGGAGGTATAAAATCTAATAGAAAGAAACAATTTGTTAAAAATTAGAATTGGGCAAGTGGAATCTAATGACTCTATGAGATCAGTCAAACAGAAATAAAAGAATGAAAAAATGCAAGAAAATGTACAATACCTCATTGGTAAAACAACTGACCTGGAAAATAGATCCAGGAGAAACAACTCAAAAATCATTGGTCTACTTGAAAACCATGATTGAAAAAAAGCTGCACAGTATCTTTTAGGAAATCATCAAGGAAAATT